CGGCATCCGCTTCCGTCGCGGGTTGAGACTGTCAATTCGTTGGCTGGAAACCTTGTTTTTCCTAGCGGATTCCTTGTTGGCTCGCCGTTTTCGCAATTCTGTGCGTTTTTTTAACACAGACAGATTGCAAAATGACTTGTCCTATGGCCTTGCAGCAGTCGATGCTTAACACATCAACACCAGCCGTGCTTGATTCGGGGAACTCCAGTCGCCAGTTCGCATCATCGTTTGCAGCGCCACAGACACAAGCAGCAAATCCAGGAGCGTTCCATCACGGAGGTACGCTGAGTCTCCTTTTTTTTTTTTTTTTTTTTTTTTGAATCGGCGAAGTTACAAGTACCACACACAGGTCCAGGGACGTTTCATGGGGAGGTAAGCTGAGCTCTCGTCCACGCGTCTGGTGGGCGCGTTCTTTCTTTCCGTGGCGTGGACTTGCAATTACATAGAGTTTATCCTGTCTCTTTTTTCGCAGTTTTTTTTTTTTTTTTTTCCAACACAACTTCTCCGTCATGTGGCAACTTTCACTCGCTGGTGACTGGCTTCAGCACACCGGACACGCAGAACTTCCTTGAAATGTCTTCCATTATTCCATTATTGTACCTTCCGTATATAATCAGGTAACTTGCAATCGCTGCACAATGTGCAAGCGACGGGGTACAGCATACAGAGCATGCAGAACGCACTTACGAGAGGCACGGGAATGGGCGGAGTGCCGTCCGCGCAGGCGCAACCTCCGTCCACAGGCAACATGGCGGCAGGCCGGTTCGGCACCAGCGCACTCCCTACCAACCTGCAGCAGGTAAGGCAAGGGGAATGGGGGAAAGAGGCGGTGAGGAAGGTGGGGGAGGAAGGGGGGGGGGAAGTTTGGAGAGGATAAATTTGTTTTGCGCGGAGGCTTTTAGGTTGTTGTAAAAAACACTGGTCAGCACGGGGAAGGTGAGGCGAGGGTGGGGTTAGATTGGCGCGCTTGGCGTTTCGTGACTGGCTGGCTATCTGGCATGTGCTCGCCTTGTGCTCGTCCGCCTGCGTCTCGCTATATCTCTCTCTTGTTTTGGCTCTCTCTCTCTCTCTCTCTCTCTCTCTCTCTCTCTCTCTCTCTCTCTCTCTCTCTCTCTCTCTCTCTCTCTCTCTCTCTCTACCACTCTCCCTCCCTCTCCCTTCATGACGCAAAACTCTCGCGTCCTCATAACAACAACTCCCTCTTTCCATCACCACCACACCACATCCACCAACTGCCTCCGCCATCACCGCTGCCGCAGCAGCAGCAGCAGCAGATCCCAGGGCTGCACGCGCACACAGGTGCGGTGACCAACCGCGGGAGCGGAGTGAGCTTAGTAGGCGGCCACCCCTTCGCCGGCAGCATGAGCGGACTATCCGGCGGAGCAGGCGCGCCCGGAGTAGCAACAGCGGGCGGGGGAATGAGCGGGATGAGTGGAATGAGCGGGATGACCGGAATGAGCGGGATGAGCGGAATGAGTAACGTGCCTGGACAGCGAACAATTGGCTCCGCGGGTCTAGGGGTGAACCCATCTCAGATTGCGGGGTCCGCAGGGAGACTAGGCGCGCCCGGGGCTCTGAGCATGGCAGGGGCGGGCGGAGGGATGGGGCTTTCCGCGGGGGCAGGCGCAGGGGCGAGCGCAGGGTTGACTCGGGCGATGAACCCCGCGGGCGCGCTGGGCATGTCGACGGTAGGGGGAGCGCGCGCGCTGGGATCAGTAGGGTTGGGGGGAAGTGTAGGTGCGGTGGGCGTGCAGGGGCCTGGGCGGCCGTTGGGAACAGGAATGATCTCTGGGCAGGGGCAGGGACAGCAGCAGCAGCAGCAGGCGCAGCAGCAGCAGATGTTGGCGTTAGGGTTGCAATCGCAGGGGCAACACCATCATCATCAGCAGCAGGTGGGGGTTGGACAGCAACAGCAGCAGCAGCAAGGGCAGGGGGGCCAGCAGGGGTTGCAAGCTGGGACGTACCAGCCTTCAGGAGACGTAATGGCTATGATCAACCGCGGTGAGTGCGAGGCCGCTTGGTTTGGGCTACAGTTATTTATTGCTTTGTTGACTTCAAGTCTCCGGGCTGGGACGTAAGTAATGGCTATGAATGATCAACCGCGGTGAGTGCGAGAGTGCTTCGTCTGAGCTATGTCGATCCTTGATTTTTTTAGTCTGCGTTGCATTGATTGCCGCTGCCTGGTGTCAACAATCCGCCTTCTTTTCTTCGCCTCTCTGATATGCAGCTGGTGCGCCTGCGGGCATGCTTTCCAGCAACAGTTACCTGCAATCCCAGCAGCAGCAGCAGCAGCTGTTGCAGCAGCCGAAGCAGATGGGTGCAGTCAACGGGCAGCTAGGCCCATCGTCGTTGCTCCTCGACCAGCAGCAGCAGCACATGCAGCAGCAGGGGCAGCAGGGGCAGGGGCAGATGCAGGGAGGGTCATTGTTGCTACAGAAGCAGGGGCAGGGACAAGGAGAGGGCAAACGGGACGGGTCGAAAGGGGAGGGCGAGCAGGGGGACGAGTCGAGGCAGGGAGGGCAGGATCAGGAGCAATTGGGCGGGAGAGGCGAGCAGCGAGAGGGTGATGGGGCAGCGTTTGACATGAGCGAGTTCCCCACGCTCAACACGAGGCCGCCTGGGAGTGCAGCCATGGCGTCAGGTAGGCACTTGAACAGACATGCTTCGTGTGATGCACCTGCTTTATCTGCTCCATTCGCCACCTTGAGCGTTTTCTTTGTTCTCTTCAACTGATGTTTGTTTCTACCCCTCAGCCGACTCAGGGCTACTCCTCAACCCTGTCATGCACAACCTTCAACCATTCCACCCGCACTCCTCAGCCCTCTCAACCCTGCTCCGTCAACCCCCCCTCATCTGTGCTGCTCGCGATCCCTTCAGGTGCAGGGTCGGCAGCAGCGGCGGTGCTAAGGAAAGGGGCTCCATTGAACGCGCTGCTACACCAGGGAGGGCCGGAATTCAGCATACAGAACGAGGATTTCCCTGCCCTGCCCGGCCTCAAAGGTGTGTGTGCCTTGCCCAGCCGCACTGGTGGGTTTGTGCTTGCCTAGGTCTGCATGCGTGTCCTTTCATGGTGTTTGCATATTTGCGTATGAGTCTGCTGCTGCTGCTGCTGTACGGTGCAGGTGTTGTAAATGCAAGCCTGAGCTTAAGCTTCCAGGAGGCCTTTGATGGACTCTTTCTCTCTTTCCTGCTTGCTTTCGTCTGCCTGCTGCTTGATCCTGCAGCGGGCGCAGACAACGGAGGGGACAAGGACAGTTCCGCACAGCAACAGCAGCAGCAGCAGGGCGCAGGAGGGTCGATCAGAAGCCACTTGGACATGCTTCAGCAGCAGCAGCAGCAGCTGCAGCACCTCAGCTTGCATGACAACCCCCACCTCCACCAGTACCACCAGCACCACCACCAGCAGGGGCAGCAGCAGCAGGGGGGGCATTTGAAGCACCTAGATCAGCGCATGCTCTCGTCCCCTCCGCCCCTGAATGCACCGGGGGCTCCCAGTAGCTCCATGCTTATCCTGCAACGATCTGCCAGCCCTAGCCCTTCTCTCCAGCAGCAGCAGCAACAGCAGAAACAGCAAGAGCAGCAGCAGCAACAGCAACAGCAACAAGAGCAGCAGCAGCAGCAGCAGCAGCAACAGCAGCAGGAGCAGCAGGACGAGCAGGCACGGGGGGCAGAGGGATCTAGTTTGCGGCACGCGGACGGCTCTGGAAACGTTCTGTTAGGGCAGGGAGGGGGTAAGGCTGGAGAGCAGCTAGGCTCGGCACCTGGTTCTCGATCCAATACACCTGGTCTCACGGGCCCCCAGCAGCAGGCTCAACCAGGAAGCGGGCAGGTGGGAGCAGGAAAGGAGCAGGGTGTAGACGGGCCGGATAAGTACGGGCTGCTGGGGCTGCTTAGTGTGATTCGGATGAACGATCCAGATTTGACCACGCTGGCGCTGGGGACCGATCTGACGACTCTCGGGCTGAATCTGAACTCGCGGGAGAATCTGTACCGCACGTTTGCATCGCCGTGGGCGGATGGGCCGACGAGAGCTGAGCCGGAGTTCAGCCTCCCGGCTTGCTACATTCAACCCACGCCTCGTCTTCAGGTCAGTCAGTGCCGGCTCTGCCTGTGTAGGCGCCTCATAAATAGTGGAAAAGAGTTCTAGATGGACGGGACCTGATTAGAGGTTAGCTAGGGTTTAGCCTGCTGGCTTGCTGCATCCAACACGTGCCCCGTCTGCAGGTCTTTTGAGACGTCTCAAAAGTCGTCTACTTACACGCGGATTTTGAGACGTTTCAAAAGTAGCCTGCTGGCTTGCAGCATCCAACACATGCCTCGTCTGCAGGTCCGTCAGTGCTGCTACTTCTTAAATCCGTGTTCTTTTGGTAGCATCAAGCCGTGCATCCTCATTCCTCTCCTATTCCCCTCCTCTCCCACCGTCCTGCACCGTCCCCTTTCGCCCTGTGTTTTCCCACGCCCTCTCCTTCTCTCTCGCTCGTCGCTCGACTGCAGCCGGGCTATTTCTCGAAGTTCCAGCAGGACACGCTCTTCTATATATTCTACAGGTGAGCTCTAAAGGTTTATTATTTTTTTTAAGGGTTGACGTTTTGAGCTTAAGGGCCAAGTCTTTGAGCTTTGGGTTTTGATGAGCTTAAAATTTTGAGCTTTGAGCTTTGTGGTTTTTTGGCTCTGGTAAAAGGCTCCGCTGTTACAGTGCATGATAGTTAGCCATGGAGGATGGGTGGGTGGGTGGATGTTGCCTTACAAACGCTCGTCCCACCCACCAACACCGGCTTTTGTTCCAATCGCTCTCTCCTCCACTACGGCTGCTGTTTCCCAGCCGATGGCTCATACTCCGACCCGCCGTCCTCCCACCTCCCACCCCTTCCTCCTTGCCTCCTGCCTCCTCCTTACCACCCGTTTTCCTCTGTAATGCTGTCGTTCGCCCCCTTCCCCCCCCATACTTTTGCGTTTGTGTTTCCTGTGTGTGATGCCTCCCTGCTCTGCCTGCGCAACAGCATGCCGCATGACGAGGCGCAGCTGTTCTCTGCTGATGAACTGTGAGTGCAGTGCTCTGCATTGCATCGCCCATCTCACATCCCACATTTTGCATCTCTCATCTCGCATCTCATATTTTGACACCCCTTGCATGGCAGATCTTGCACATACAATTTGCGCATAGACAGGCATATTATACTGCCTGCTATGCACCCATGCACTCTCCTGTACATGCATGCAGCCGGAGCACTTCACGCGTCAAACAATGTAGTTCACCTAGAATAATAATAATAAAAAACAAAAACCATGCCTACAGCAAGAAGTTCAGTACATAGCACCCTTGCCTTCCCTGCGTTATCTCACCCATCTCACCCCTCCGTACATCCTCCCGGCAGGTGCAACCGCGGGTGGTTCTACCACAAGGAGCACCAAGTGTGGTTCACACGCGTGCCCAACAGTGAGCCCGTGGTGAAGACCCCCACGTACGAGCGCGGCTCCTACTACTTCTTTGACCCCACCGTCTGGGAGACCGGGCGCAAGGTGCGTGTTTTGGGGAGAGGAGGGAGGTGAGAGCGGGCTTTGAGGTGGGGGAAGGCAGGGGCAGAGGACAGGGAGGAATGCACTCAGTTGGTGGTGAAGACCCCCACGCACGAGCGCGGTTCCAACCACTTCTTTGATCCCACCGTGTGGGAGGCAGGAAGGTGAGTGGTGTGGATCTCACAAGACAGGCAAGAAAGTGAGAAAGGGGGGCAGGACCACTGTGTGCTACAGCACGAGATGCTCCTGGCCTATTTCCAGCTATTGAGGTGACTTTTGAGTCAACCTAAAAGACAGGCAAGAAAGTGGGAAAAGGGGCAGGACCACTGTGTGCTGCAGCACAAGATGCCGTAGCCCCATTTCCATCTATCGATTTCTGTCTGCAGCACATTGAGAGTTCACCCTTACTCACTCTTCCCTGCTTTCCCCTACCCACCTTCCCACACACCTCAGGATAACGTGGTGGTGCTACAGTGCGAGATGCTAGAGGCCCGTCCCCAGCCCTTGGCTCTTTTCATAACACTCTTCTTCCCTACCCTCTTCTCCTCTCTTTCTCCGCCCTCTCCCTCCCCTCCCCCCCCACTTCAACATCCTCAGGACAACTTTGTGCTTCAGTATGAGATGCTTGAGGCCCTTGGCTCTTCTCATAACACACTGACATGCCAACCTTCCCCGCTCTCTTCTGCTCTCCTCCTCCCCCCCTCCCGCCCCACCACCCCGCAACACTCTCAGGACAACTTCGTGCTACAGTATGAGATGCTAGAGGCCCGTCCCCAGCTGCCCATTCCTCCCCAGCGATAGTGCAGCTGCTGACCTTGGCCAGGCGGTCAGGGGCTTAAGGTTTTGGGATTGCACACAGGAGGAGGTGGAAGAGGACAGGAGGTGGCTGTGAGGGCTTGACTTGCGATGCAAGGGACAGGGATGCTTCTATGTTTTGGTCTTAATGCATGAGAGAATCAATAACGAGGGTTTTGGAGGGAGGTTTGGAGAGTGGATAAATTTGTGGGTGGCAGAGGTACAGTAGTCGGTTGGTGATTTGATGGAGCGAGATTCGAGGGATAGGAGGAATGGGTGCGATGCGAGGAGATGGCGGGAGAGCGCCAAAGAGTGCAAGCGATTGCATCATCGTCTCCCCTCATCATCATCATTGATAGTAGTCACTCCCCTCATTCTTAGTCACTAACATCACATCTGCTTGATTGTGGTTATTGCCCAATGCTCACCATTTTCGAGCTTCGGAGGGTCTCTGTCAGACCCCGAAATGTCTAATTTTCTCATTCAAAACATGTAGGCGCGTTTTGATAAGTCTTTACTAGCTTCAGTATTACCTTCTAATAAAAGCCATTATGCATCATGTTACACAAACTGCAAAGTCGCATCGCTGTTTCCGCGATTTCAGAACGCGTTCAGTCTCGGTTTCATTTCGGTTGCTAATTGCCAGTACGAGAGCGGTGCATTCTGTAAATTGCTAGGCGAAATGACCCAGATGGGACGACCTGATGCTTCAATGGAAAAGTACGAAAGTACGACAGTGAAAGTACGAGCAAAAATTTGAGGTCTTGTTTTGTGTCGGTCATTTGTCTGATTTCTGAGCGGTACTGCTCGGTGCTAGTCGCTAAAGGATTTGAAGCTGCATTGGTCCCGCCAGTGATTATGGTCACCAGAACTGCTACGTCCTTCTCCACTTCACCGCCGTCACCTGTCTAGCTCCTCTCGTCCGCGTGCCTCCTCCGGAGAAGCCATGGCGGCTTCCGCGGAGCTTGCCGCGTATGCGTTTCACGCGGCGTCGCCGCGTCTCCGTTACAGCGGAACTGGCGCGGCGGACAACTCTAGTTTCTCCGCGTCTTCTGCGTTCGCCATAGTCCCGTTATCCAGCCGCGTCGCTTCCCTCCGCATCGTTTCCCGCGCGCCATTGCGCCGATCCGCTCTTAGCCCGCCCACCTTTGTCGCGCACGCTGCTTCCCGCCAACAGCCGGAAGAGCATGTGGAGGAGATAGCGCGCGGAGATATAGAGGTTAGGGGGGAGAAGGTGCGGTTAGCGGAGAGAAACGGCGGAATGAGAGTAAAAAATAGGAGCGCAAGCTTAAAGAACGGCGGAGAATCGAACAGAGAGGGAAATGAGCGACGGTTGGAGCGTGAGAATCGGTCGGAGGAGCGCGAGAGGCGGTCCGAACAGCAGGGGAAGGTTCGTAAGGGAATGGCAGTTACGAGGCGTCAGGTTCTCGCAACTGCCGCTGCGGCTGCTGCTGCAGGGGGGATTGCTGAACGCGCAGCAGCAGCAGGGCTTGTGATACCAGGAGCGAGGAGTTGGAGGGGAGGAAACGGATTAGGGTTTGTGGAGGGGGAAGAGAGCGGGGGAGTGGAGGGGAAGGGGCGCGGGGGAGCGGGGACGAGTGTGGGATCCGCGCTCGATAGCTTATCGGAGCGGGTGTGCACGTTCATGCTTGCGAACGGCATGCGTTGGATTGTAGTGGAGCGGCGGGCGGCGCCGATTGTCTCGTGCCACACGTACGCGGACGTGGGGGCGGCAGACGAGGCGGATGGGTGCACGGGCGTGGCGCATCTATTGGAACATCTGGCGTTTAAAGGCACCCCCGTTATAGGAACGAGAGATGCTCAAAAGGAGGCTCGGCTACTGGAGCTTGTAGACGAGGGTGAGTGTAGAGAGAGCTCTAAAATGAATTCAAATTGGTAGAGCTTTTCAATATCAAACAACCATTCTGAAAGTAAAGAATTGGTAGAACGAGCCAGACGTAATATTGTGCTGAAACGTGTCGCAGGAAGCACTGCCTCTGTCCGTCTCAAAACCACCTACCGACTTGCCACCACCCCGTGAGCTCCCTCCCATCCCCTTCCCCCTCTCGCCCTCCATCCTGTTCCCCGCTTCCCACCATCCCCGGCAGCGTTCTACGGGCTGAAGGAGGCGAGAGAGGGAGGGGCAGCAGAGGGCACGGTCAAGCGCCTGGAGGACGAATTTGTGAGTGCGGTGCTTCCAACTCCCCTCCCGTCCCTCTTTCAGTTCCATCTCTTTCTTTAAATGGATTTTTCGGTGTGCGAGCCTTTGAGTCGCTTTTAGGATTTCTAGAATGTGATACAGCACAAGCATAGCAGAGGGCACAGCACAGTCAAGCGGCTGGTTGGAAGAGGAATCTGTGAGCTGGTTGGTTCTTCCAACGTCCCTCCCCCTCTCAGTTCCAACTTCTTTCTTTCTCGAGTCTTTGTCTTTCTTGTCTTGTGAGTTCACTCGAAAAGGGAGCAGCAGAGGACATGGTCAAGAGGCTAGAGGAGGAAAGCTTGAGTCCACATGCTGAAGGATAGTCTCAGAATTGATAATAATACTCTCCTCCACTCTCCTCCACTCTCCTCCACTCTCCTCCACTCTGCCCGACTCTGCCCCACTCTGCCCCACTCTCTGCCCCACTCTGCCCCACTCTGCCCCACTCTGCCCCACTCTGCCCCACTCTGCCCCACTCTGCCCCACTCTCTGTCCCACGCTGCCCTTCCTCTGCTGGCTTCCAGGCTCGCCTGCAGCAGCAGGCCGCGGAACTGTCTGTGCCAAACGCGTTTGGCGCCCTGGTGTCGCGGGAAGGGGGCGTGGGGCTCAACGCGACCACCAGCCAGGACTCCACACGTGCGTGTGTGGGGGGGGGAGAAGAAGGGTTAGAGAGAGAGGAGTATGTGGGAGAGAGAGGGAGGTTGATGAGGAGGCGTGGGGCTCAACGCGACGACCAGCCAGGACTCCACACGTGCGTGCGAGGGGAGAAAGTGGGAACAGATAGGGGAAAGGAAAGGGAGGGTGGCAGGGTTGTAAGGGTGTGTGAGGGGCACCTATGAAGTCGGGAAGGGGGCGTGGGGCTCAATGGAACCACCAGCTAAGATGCCACACGTGTGTGGATGGGTGGGGGGGGAAGGGGAAGGGTTAGGAAAGTAGGATGGCTATAGAGGCACCCTTGAGGTTGAAAAGGGGGCATGGGGCTCAACGCGAGCACCAGCCAGGATTCCGCACGTGAGAAAGCGAGGAGAGGGAGAATGGCCTGAGAACAAGCTTGAGTTTTGGATGGCGCTTGTCACTTGAGAGCGGCTGCCTCCTTGCTTCAACACTGCGGTCCCCGCGCGTCCCCTCCTCCTCTTCCCACGCTCGGATATAACCCATCTCACCCTTCTCCCCATGCCTTCCTTCGTCCCCTCCCACCAGAGTACTTCGTCTCCCTGCCCACCAACAAGCTTGGGCTCTGGATGGCGCTTGAGAGCGGCCGGTTCCTTTCATAGACTGTGCTTTCCCCACAACTTTCAGCTTTCAACTTGTCTCTCTGTTCCCCCCCCTCCTTCCCTCACCCCTTCCCCACAGAGTACTTTGTCTCCCTGCCAGCCAACAAGCTCGAGCTCTGGATGGCCCTTGAGAGCGGCCGGTTCCTGGCGCCTGTGTTCCGAGAGCTGTACAGTGAGAAGGAGGTGAGAATGCGTCGAGGGGGGTTTGAGGGGGTGGTAAGGCATGGGGTGGAAAGGTAATGAAGGTGTGGGGTGACCAGGAGTCTAGAGCGGTTCGAGAGCGGCCGGTTCCGGGCGCCTGCGTTTCTCGAGCTGTACAGTGAGAAGGAGGTGAGAATGCAGTAGGTGGGAGGAGTGTGGGTGTGGAGAAATGGGATGAGGCAGGAATGAACCCATGTGGCCCTTACCTCGCAGTAAGAATGCACCCATGTCAACCGCGCTGCACCGCACTGCGCCCACCGCATCAGGTAGTGAGGGAGGAGAGGCGCGTGCGCATTGACAACACCCCCTACGGCCGCTTCACAGAGGCCTTTGCTCAGAAGGCGTTTCCCCGCAGTAGAGCCAATAAACGCAAGTCAGCTTTGCTGCACCGCACTCAACCACATTGCACCTCCACCTAATCACACACACCAAACCCCACCACGCCAGGTGGTGAGGGAGGAGAGGCGACTGCGCATTGACAACACGCCCTACGGCCGCTTCACAGAAGCCTTTGCTCAGCGGGCGTTTCCCCACAGCCCCTACGGACGCCCCACCATTGGATACCGTACGTCCCTTATTGTGTCTACAAAAGTGTACTCATTATTAGATGTATTCATGTACATGGGTAGATATTTCCGCTCTGCAGCTGTACCCATGTGGCGTTCTACCTCAGTGCCGCGTCCTGTAGTGTTGTGTAGTGTTGATGATAAAGTGACTTTTGAGTCGACTCAAAAGTCACCTCGTTACTATGGCACACGACATTGCTCCGCAGCTGTACCCATGTGGCGTTGTACCTCAGTGTGGTGTATCCTGTAGTGTTGTGTGGTGTTGTGTAGTGTTGTGTAGTGTTGTGTAGTGTCGATGATAAAGACTTATTGTTGACCTGCCTGCCTGCCTGCCCTGTGCCTGCTCCCCCTCTCTTCTCTCCCTCTTTCTCCCCGTCTCTGCCAGCGTCTGATTTCGATCGCTTAGGAAGGAAGGAGGTGGAGGCGTTCTTTCAGCAGCACTACACGCCTGACAAGCTCACATGCGCGGTGGTATGAAATCCTCTGTGTAACCACGGCACATGCGAGCCGTGGTTTGTGTAATAGACCGATTTTTTAGTCGACTAAATCATCCAGTGTAACCGGGTTACCGCGGTACATGAGAGCCGTGGTTACAGAGCATGCAGTGCCATGCCTCTGCGTAATTGTGTGTCTTCATGGTATGTAACTGCATGCATGACATGGCCTGATGGCATGGCACGATGACATGGCATAACCTAGAACCCACTTGCTGCATGTGTGGTAGTCAAATCTTTTCCCTTTCGGGTGGTTGCTTGCCTGGTTGCTTGGCAGGTGGGGGATGTGTCAGCAGCAGAGGTGGAGCGGCTAGGCTAGCCACCAAGTACTTCAACTTGGCAGCATCACCCCTCCCTCGCAACCCATCCCAGCCCTCCCTTTCTCCCTCGCCTCCTGACTGATTGTTTGATTGCCTGGATGCATGGCAGGTGGGGGACGTGTCAGTAGCAGAGGTGGAGCGGCTAGGCTAGCCACCAAGTACTTCAACTTGGCAGCATCACCCCTCCCTCGCAACCCATCCCAGCCCTCCCTTTCTCCCTCGCCTCCTGACTGATTGTTTGATTGCCTGGATGCATGGCAGGTGGGGGACGTGTCAGTAGCAGAGGTGGAGCGGCTAGGCTAGCCACCAAGTACTAAGTACTTGGCTCCCTGGCAGCCCATCACCTCACAACCCATCCCACCCAGCTCCCTCCCTTTCTCCCTTCTTGCATCTGGCTGGTTGTTTGTCTGCTTGCCTGGATGCATGGCAGGTGGGGGATGTGTCAGCAGCAGAGGTGGAGCGGCTAGCAACCAAGTACTTTGCACCGTGGCAGCCCATCACCTCTCCCTCAGAGCCCATCCTAGCCCTCCCCTTCTCCCTCGCCTCCTCCTCCTCTCCTCTCCTCCTCGCCTCGGCTTTCCCACTCCCTCTCTCCTCCTCCCCTCCTCTCTCCTCCACCACTCCCTCTCTCAACCCCATCTCCTCCTCCTCCTCTTCCGCCTCTCGTGCCTGGCGATCAGGGAGCAGAGAAGAGGGGTGGGAGGCGGCGAGAATGGCTGCTGCTGCTGTGGGGGAGGAGAGGGAGATGAGAATGAGCGTGGGTGCCAACCCGCTGTATTTCGAGGGTAAAACACCCTGTGGTTGTCGAGCAGATTCCCAATCACCTCTCCTCCTCCCCTTTTCCCTCTCCTCTTCCACTTGCCTCTATCCCCCTGGCATGGCATGTGGGGCACACAATAGACGCATATGTTGTTTCTTTTCTAGTGACTGACCTCTTATAATGCACACTATTTACATATCTGCATGTGCATGGTGTGCATATGCATGCAGGCTATTTCCGCCCCTACTCATCCTCGGTGGACGATCCGGTCATCTCTGTAATCAGCTCTCTGCTCTATGGCTCTCGCTCCTCCCGCCTCTACAAAGTGAGATCCGTCCTTCCGTTAATATCACTCGCTCTCTCGCTTCCTAGTTTTTTTGTTTGTTTGTTGGCTTTTTTTTCTCGTTCATTTGTTGTTTCGTTTGTCTGAACAATCTTTTCCTTGTGCCAACAACTCTGTCTTTGTCATCTCTCCTCACTCCCGTCTCAGCTATCCCCCCTCACCCCTCCTCTCTCCTCTCTTCCCTTTCTCACCTCCCTCTCCTCTCCTCTCGCCCCTCCTCCCTCCTCCCCCCAACCTGTCAGAACCTAGTGCTGCCAGGCAAGGCCCTCTCAGCCAGTGCCACAGAGACCTACCCCGGAGATAAGCGCCCCAGTCTCTTCCTGCTCTCCGCCTTCCCTCCTCTCGGTAACACCCCATGCCTCTCTGCTCACATGACACCATGCCCCTGCCCCTTAACCCACATGACACCATGCCCCTGCCCCTTTACCCACATGACACCATGCCCCTGCCCCTTTACCCACATGACACCATGCCCCTGCCCCTTTACCCATATGACACCATGCCCCTGCCCCTTTACCCACATGACACCATGCCCCTGCCCCTTTACCCACATGACACCATGCCCCTGCCCCTTTACCCACATGACACCATGCCCCTGCCCCTTTACCCACATGACACCATGCCCCTGCCCCTTTACCCACATGACACCATGCCCCTGCCCCTTTACCCACATGACACCATGCCCCTGCCCCTTTACCCACATGACACCATGCCCCTGCCCCTTTACCCACATGACACCATGCCCCTGCCCCTTTACCCACATGACACCATGCGAAACCCCTCTGGACACATGATACCATACCACGCCCTTCTTTTGAGTCGACTCAAAAGTCACCTCGAATCGAAACCCCTCTGGTCTGGACACCTGTTACCATACCACGCCCTTCTTCGCACATGCACTATACATCCGCGTGCATTGAGTTGAGTTTCGAGGAGCCTCAAAACTCAACCCCTCTGGTCTCGACGCATGATACATGATACCATACCACGCCCTTCGTCGCACATGCACTACCCATCCCATGCTGCGCCCCTCTGTGCATTTAATATCGTATGATGTTAATGTCATGCCATGCACCTGTGTATGTACCGTGCTTCCATGTGCCCCACTCTCCACTGCATGTCATTACCCCACTCTATAGCACATGGCCGACACACGCGCGCCTGAGAGTGACCTCACACTTACTTTGCTCTCATCCTCCCCACTCTCCCAATTGTTAAAAGTGTTGTTTTGAGACGTCTCAAAACAGCACTTACATTGCTCTCGTCCTTCTCCCCACTCTCCCAATTATCCCACAGGCGGCACCACCGATGCGGCCGCAGCAGCGTTACAGGAGCAGCCACAGCACATGACAGACACGCGCGTGCCCTTACGCCTAGCCTCACGTCTCAAACTGCCTGCAATGTTCTGTGTGTGTGCCATTCGTTGCCCCACAGGTGGCACCACCGATGCGGTCGCAGCAGCGCTACGGGAGCAGCTGCAGCACATGGCCGACACACGCGTGCCTGAGACTGACTCTTGTTCCCCTTCTCAATCCCAACCCCCTGCGATTTCCCACAGGCGGCACAACTGATGCAGTGGCAGCAGCACTGCAGGAGCAGCTGCAGCACATGGCGGACACGCGCGTGCCTGAAAGCGACCTGGCTCGGGTCCGCAAGTCCCTGCGGGTCGGCTTTCTTGTAAGTTCGCCGCGTTGCTCTGTCGTATGCGTTGGCTCAGAACGCTTGTGGGTGGACTGAAAAGCACATGGCCGACACGCGCGTGCCTGAAAGCGACCTCGCTCGGGTCCGCAAGTCTCTCCGAGTCGGCTTCCTTGTGAGTCTGCTTTTTCCTCGCCAGTTTGAGACAACAAAAGAAAAAGAAGATTTAATTAAAATAAAGAAATATTTCTCATTGGGTATCCAGCAGAGCTCGCTTGAGTGTCCCCCGACAATTCACCCGTCGAGTGTCCCCCGACCATCCACCCGTCGAGTGTCCCGTCTTCCTTCCCTCTCCACACAGGAGCTTCTGGGAAGCGATTCAGGCTTGGCCTGTCTTCTCTGTCCTGGCACTATCACTTGCCCCTACCAACTCAAGCCTGTCTTCCTTCTTACTTTTCCCATCTCTATCTGTGTCCTGCACTCTCCTCTTCTCCCTGTATTAAACAGGAGCTCCTAGGCAGCAATGCAGGCTTGGCGCGGGTGTGCTGTGAATACTCCATGCAGGCGGGCAGATGGGAGGCTCTGGTGGAGGAGGTGCAGAGCATTGAGGAGGTCACTCCCACATCCGACACGCTATCACTTCTGAATCGACTCAAAAGGCCCCGTTTCGACTCAAGCCTGTCTCCCTCCCTTCGTCCTCCCCCCCTCCCCCCCTCCTCTCTGTGCCCCTCGCTCTTCTCTTCTCCCTCTCTTAACAGGAGCTCTTGAGCAGCAATTCAGGCTTGGCGAGGGTGCTGAGTATTCAACCAGGGCGGGCAGATGGAAGACACTAGTGGAGGAGGTGCAGAGCATTGAGGAGGTCACCCCCAGGGACGTGTGTAAGAAGGGACGTCACTCTTTGGTATCATTTCCCTCTACCGACTCACGCCTGTCTCCCTGCTTCCTTCTCCCCGCTTTCTTCTTTCTTCTCCCCCCTCTCTCTGTGCCCCTCGCCCATTGATTTTGCCTGTCTTAACAGGAGCTCCTAGGCAGCAATTCCGGTCTGGCGCGAGTGCTGTGTGAATACTCTACCCGGGCGGGCAGATGGGAGGCACTAGTGGAGGAGGTGCAGAGCATTGAGGAGGTCACTCCCAGGGACGTGCAGCAGGTGGCACGGCTGCTGTTCTCCCCTGATATGCGCATCACAGCACATGCTGTCAATGCTTAGAGCGCAAGGGAGCACCGAGCAAGATGTTCTAGGTGCAGTTGGAAGTGCTGGTGGAGGAGAGGAGGTGCAGAGCATCGAGGAGGTCACTCCCAGGGACGTGCAGCAGGTGGCACGGCTGTTATTCTCCCCTGATATGCGCATCACAGCGCATGCCATCAATGCATAGTCTCTGGGTGACAAAGGAGGTACAGAACAAAGCATTGAGGAGGTTACTCCCAGGGACGTGCAGCAGGTGGCTGGTTTGTTGTTCTCTCATATGCGGATCACAGCACATGCTGTCAATGCATAGTCTCTGGGTGACAAACGAGGTGCAGAGCATTGAGGAGGTCACTCTGAGGGACGTACAGCAAGTGGCTCGTTTGTTCTCTCCCGATATGTGCATCACAGTTCATGCTGTCAATGCATAATGCGTAGGTTTGATGGTGCAAGTGCGAGCCCCACTTATTCATTATTTGAGGTGTGGCAGGTCATTCCTTAGTGGATGTATAGGGTAGCAAATTATTTAGTATTACGGAACCAAGCATAAAAAATATTCCTCTTTTTCCCTCGTCTAACATGCATGTTTCAGCTCTGTTTGAGGTTCTACTTATCCTGACCATTCGTTCATTACCGTATTAGAGACTCTTTGGCTTGTAGGAACTTTATCAAGCTTGAGTATGGTATGGGCAGTTCAGGCTGCACACTTGTCACCATTGAAAATAATAATTTCCATGTAACTGTTGTTCCACTGCATATAGTTACCGGATTGGGTCTTCAATTCGCGCACAGCCGCATACATTTTCAGCTGAGGGCGATCATTCCCTAGCAATACTAGGCGAGTCGCGGCGCCGAATCCGTTAGCATCTTACAATCTACTCATCCACGATTCGCCATGGCCGCCGCGAGTAGCTTCATTCGCCGAGGACGCCCCGCGACGACGGGGATAGCGGCGGCCGGAAGAGCGGGTAGCGCGTTTCGTGCAGGATCTGCCACAGAAACCACAGGGAGCAGAGGTATCACGGAATCCACAGCAGGCGTTACAGAAGGCACGGCAGGAAGCAGAGCAGCGACGCTTGCGCTTCCCGGGACGAAATTCGCGGCTGGAGCTCGGCTGGTCACCTCGTCAGGCCTCGCTGGCCTCGATCATATCCGCCTCGCCCTCCCTACTGGCCCTTTTTTTTCTCAGCCTTGCGACCTTTCAGTCTTCCCGTCCGAGTCCGTGCGAGTGGTTTTTTAGACTTCTAAAAGATCTCTCGTCAGGCCTCGCTGGCCTCGATCATATCCCCCTCACCCCCCCTCTACCTGTCAACCTTTCTGGGAGTTCTCCAGAGTGACCCTGGAATTGTCAAGCTGGATTGTTACCTTTTCCGCCTTTTGCACGTTTTCTCTCTCCCTATGCACCTCTCCTCTCCTCCCATGCAGTTCTTCTCTCTTCCCAAGCACCATTGTCCAACCAACCTGCTGTGCCTTCCTTAACCGGTCCATGCTCCCCTCTTCCCCCAAACTGCCCCGCTTCTCCTTCCTCCGCTTCTCCTGCCTTTGCTTCTCCTTCTCTCCATCACCCCTTCTCCGTCCCTTCATGTTCGCCCGCCTCTACCTCCTCTTCCCCTTCACCCGTGCGTCTCGATCCATTTAACCACAAGCCGTAGGCGGGGGATACCCAGTGGGCGGTATCGTCCTATTAATAGAAGACTCGCTCTCACCCCTCCACCTCATTCTCCTCCGCTACTTCCTCTCTCAAGGCCTCTCCCACTCCCACCCACTCCTCCTCCTCTCACCCCTCCCCGATCCCCAAGCCTTTCTCGCCACGCTTCCGGCGCCAGCCGAGGGAAAGGCAGGTTCGGGAGCGCTCGCAGGTCCGGTTGGCCGGGCAGGTCCGGGAGGGCTTTCCGAGCCTCAAGGCCTGGGTTGGTCGCAGGAGGAGAGAAGAGCAGGGGGTGTCGGAAGGGGAGAAAGTGTGGGGGATGGGGGAGGAGGGGGTGATGGGTTGAGAATAGCATGGCAGTATAAGCACTTGGCTCCCCAGTTCACTGGAGTGGGATCAGGAGGGGCAGCAGGTGCGTCTGTACCGTACTGCACCGAGTTTGACCTCCGCACACCACTGTCCCGGCCGTCGCTAAGGCATGCGCAGCAGCTGTGCACGTGTGTGCCTCTCTGGGTTGATGCTCTAACGGCAGGGACAGGAGGCAGCTGCACACAGCAAGAGCTGGCGCAGAATGGGGACTCTGGAGCAACGTCAGGTTTCACCCAAGACTTGTTTGGCCGTGTGTCAGGGTTCCTGTCGTCCCTTGATTCCAACGTTCCAGCAGATGCTGCTTCCTCTGCACCTGGTGGGTCTACAGGAGCTGGCTTAAGGGGTGTGGGAGGAGGAGGAGGTGGGGGGAGCGGAGAGGCGGGAGGAAGGGTGGGTCGCATTGGTGTTCATTCTCTGGGAGCTCCTCCATCATTGCTGTTGTCAGGAGATGATGCGCTGGTGGGTCTGGATCATATGCCCCTAGTGAGTTCAGACACCTTCTTTTACTTTTCAAAAATGCATTCTCTGGGAGCTCCTCCCTCATTGCGGCTGTCAGGAGATGATGCGGAGGTGAGCCCAGCAAAGAAATAGGGGCGGGGTTGGTCGCAGAAAGTTCCTCGTTTGATTGAATTGGATTGATTTATATAGCTCTAACGGTTGTTCTCCAATTCCTCCCTTTCCAACCCTGCAGACCTGGCAGGTACTTGCATGGCTGCAGTGGTTGAAAGGCTGTGTTCGCACTTTGCCCGTTACAGTCCTTGTAACAATTCCTAGAGATGAAGGAGTTATACCCCCACACGTGTTGCTGAGACTGCAGCATGCAGCGGACTTGGTGTTGGCGATGGAAGCTCTGGAAGGTAGGTGGCAGATGGTGAATGGGGTGCAGCACATGGTGAGCATGCTTGCAGGTGTATGTACATTCCAATCGAGCCCCACTTAGAGGCCACTTTTGAGTCGACTCAAAAGTCACCTTGGGTGCAGCACATGGTGAGCATGCTTGCAGGTGTATGTACATTTGTAGTGTGTGCTGCTCTCGAATGTGCTGCTGAGACTGAGGCTGCAGCATGCAGCGGACGTGGTGCTGGCAATGGAAGCACTGGAAGGTGCGGGCGAGGTAGTGAATGGGGTGGGAACATGAATGCATGAAGTGTGTATTCCCAGTGCCTGATTCGCTCACACGTGCTGCTGAGACAGCAGCATGCAGCGGATGTGGTGCTGGCAATGGAAGCACTGGAAGGTATGGGGGGGCCTGGTGAATGGGGTGCAACAGAATATGTCGTGTGCATTCAAGTGTAACATGCGTGGTGCATGCTAGCGTGGGCTGTAGAGCAATAATGTGTGCTTCTTCCTCCACACGTGCTGCTGAGACTGCTGCATGCAGCAGACGTGGTGCTGCAATGGAAGCACTGGAATGTATGGGGGAGCTGATCACGTAGTCTACATTCCACTCTGTGTGCATGTGTGCATGCACATTCTCGTGCGCTTGTTTCCAGAACTGCACTCTTCACAATTTTTACTAAATCTGCGTGTGATTGGCCGGTGCTGTGCTGCAGAGGACAATGCGGAGCTAGCCAGTGGCATCTCGGACTACAAGGACGCCTTGGGTCTCATTCGCATTCGCAAAGTCTCCATGCAGAACTCCCTGGTAAGCATTGTGAATGGATTGGGGTGATGCTGTACTGTGCTGTGCTGTGCTATAGAGGACAATGCAGAGCTAGCAAGGACGCCTTGGGTTTCATTCACATCCGCAAGGTCTCCGTGCAGAACTCCCTGGTACATGCATTTTCGAAGGATTTGAGTGGTGGTGTGCTGAGCTGTGCTGAAGAGGGCAGAGGACGATGCAGAACTGGGCCAGTGGGACATTGATTTCGGACTACAAGGACGCTCTGGGTCTCATTCGCATCCGGAAAATCTCCATGCAGAACTCCCTGGTAAGCCCACTGGCATTGCATTGCATCTGATTCCGAAAGAAGTAATCAGTCATATCAGGGCCGTCAAGCAGGGAACGTTGCAGCAGGGACATAATGTGCCCTGCATGGCAACAGTGAGTCAGTGACCATGTCAATACCCAGGTATGCTAGATTCAGCGCAGGAAAACGACAATTAGTTGTTTCGAATTCTGAGGTTTATTGATTACTTCTGCAGGTGCCTCGTCGTAGGTATGCCAGCACATTGATGCCACCGGCTCTCAGTTGGTTTCTTGCCTCTCATTATGTCCTCTTCCCCTATCAGGTGCCTTGTATGCCGGCAGATGACCACTCTGGTGCTGAGAGCAGTGAACAGGAAGCGACAGATAGTGGTTGAGGAGGCAACCCACCCCCCATCGATGCTCCAGGGGGAACAGCAAGCTCTGAAACCATGTCTCACTTTTCTTGCTTTCTTTTACGGTATGTCTTCTTCTCGTCCCCTGTCAGGTGCCTCGCATGCCAGCAGTGACCACTCTGGTGCTGAGAGCAGTGAACAGGAAGCGACAGATAGTGGTGGAGGAGGCACACCCACCCCCGATCGATGCCACTGGGGGAGCAGCAGGTTCAAGTGGCAGGGGAGGCTCGGTTGGATGTGGTAGTTCAGGCGGGGGAAGCAATGCTCTGGATTTCTGAGTCGACCCAATAAGTGCCTTCGGAGTTGACTTAAAAGCCACATGCGGAACAGGCTCAGGCAGTGGGGCAGGCTCGGTTGGACGTGGTAGCTCAGGGGTGGGGGGGAGGGGAGGGGATCAACGCTTTGGTTTTCTGAAACGTTAGACGGTTTGGTCATAAGCTTCTAGTTTTGAAACCCTTATCTATCAAGCTGAGTTGCAGAGGTGCAGAGTTACCCTTATCTAGTTTTTAGTCCATGAAGCAGACTGGATTAGAGCGAAAATTCAACAAGGCAAAGGTCAGTGTACTATGAAAAGAGGTACGGTACGTCAACAGCGTTTGTTGTACCGTGCAGAAGATTAGATGTCATTTTTGTTGACCAGGAGCGGTACATGACTCCGTTTTCTGCGCTTGACACATCACTCCCTTCGGTTCGGCGTCAGCCTTGGCTTTAGCTGCGTTGTATTTCTCAAGCTCCTCGTAATACGTCTCCCACACGCACGGGCTGCAACCGCTACCGCAGCAGTCACTTGGAAGCGGCTTCTCTGGCGGCTCAAGGTTCGGCTGGTTCATTCTTGCGATGGCAACGGTCGAAAATGAGTCTGCCAGCAAAAACTGGCTTCTTTGTGTTTTCAAGCGTAACAAGCAAGGCTTGATGCTGTTGATCATAGAGAGATGCAGCAAGCTGCGCACGGAGATCCACGCGATACCAGATTCACGACTGGAGACGCATAACTGGCGAACAAGCTAACGACGAAGATTAGAGACGAAACACACATACCTCGTAGTGGCGTGTATGCCTCAAATACAGGAAACTAGGAGTATTCTATGTTTGAACCAGGGTCTGTTTACAACGACAGGGCCTCCAGGAATTGTCTTGCTAGAACCTCTACCTAAATTCTTTACATCCGATTCCAGTAGCAATCTAGGGGTAACTTCACCTCTATTGTGTCCTCGTCATGGGTCGCTTCACTATCAGATTATGATCACAAACTGTATGAAAATATATTGTTTTTGTCTTCATCTTACCGATAAACCGGGGGACCTTAAATGGAGGACTATCAGCTTACGTGGTCGATCTCCATTTGTTCATAAAGTGCGAAGCACATTGGATAAGCACACTGGATTCGTTTCGCCGACCAGTAAGTCTCCTTCCTCTCTCCACCGCTGGACTTTCGCTGACTCGTAATTTTTTGTTACTGTTCGTCCGACCATAACTATCTTTCGTGAACAGTGAACTATCGTGGACGACCTCTCCACCACAACACTCAAACTCTGACAATGAAGATCGCGGTTTGGGTGAACGCTTTGCGGGGCAAAATGGTTCGCTCTTGTTCTACATCGGTTAAATAGGGTTCTGAGCGAGATTGAACGGTTGTGACTTTTCCTGATTGCCGCACCGCGCCAGCAAGTCAGCGCCTCACCACTGCCTTCCTGTAATTACTCGCAATTAGGGATGTCCTGCAAAGGAGAGCAGTCAGAACCCGTTTATCCAGCAATACTCTTCCTCCGTTAGCACAGAAGTGCGCTCAGTATAGTACAAAGCAGTGTGTTCCGTAACCGACGCGGCAGCCGAAAATACGCTGATCGCGGAGCACCGCTGTTAACCTGATCAACTTCTTAAACCACATTAGGCGTATTACGCATAGCAGCCAGAACGACGGCGAAACCACCGTACCGCTGCTTGCAGCTCCCCGCTAGGTAGCCAAGGAATGAAAGCAGGCGAGAACGACGCCGCCGCCTCTGCTGTCACGCGCGGGACTGTCGCCCGCGCCGGTGGCGGGGGGGGCGGCCCTGGTGCCGGAATCGGCGGGCCTGGCTGCGGCGGAAGGTCCGGGCGGCGGTGGACGGCGATGGTGAGGATCCACGGCGCGTGCATTGCGGCGAACGACCCCTTCGCGGGGGACCATGGGCGCTCGCCTGGCGGAAATGCACCGACTTGCGGAGATGCGGCTGGCGGAAACGACACGACAGGCGGAAGCGGGGAGGCGGACGGGGGAATACGCCTCGCGCCGTACTGCCCGCTGAGATCGTCCCCCGGGTTCGCTTGGTCCGCGCTCACGCACCCGTTCCGCAGGGCGGAGGCGGAGGCGGAGCAGGTGCAGGCGCAGGGGCAGGCGGAGGCAAATTCGCAGGCGCAGACACAGGCGCAGGAGCAGGAGCAGGCGCAGGGGAAGGTGCAGGAGCGGAGGCCGGGAGAAGGCAGTGAGGAGAGGGGAACGGAGGACGGGGAGGGGGAGAAGGCAGGAGAAGGCGCAGGGAGAAGGCGACGACCGGGCCGAGGCGGTGGTTTTCTGTGCTGCTTCGGAGGTGGTCCCGCTGAATCGAGGTGTGACAATGACGAGGGGGGGGTGAGTATAGCGAGGGAAACAGGAGGAGGAGAAGGAGGTGGAGGTGGAAGGGTGAGGGGGGACGAGGCAGGGCGGGGGATTGCTGCAGAGGCTTTGGTGGCTTGGCGCATGGATAGTGTTGCTGCTGCTGATAATGCTGCGTCTGCTACAGCTGGAGCATCAGTGAAAGGTTTGAAGATGGCACAGAAGCAGCAGGAACAGCAGGGGCAGCAGCAGCAGCAGCAGCATCAGGGGCAGCAGCAACAACAAGATCAGAAGCAGAAGGATGAGCAGCAAGACCAACGGCAGCGAGAGCAAGAAGAGGCGGTGGCAATGGCAGGGGAGGACCGCTCCCACGTGCTCGTCTCACCCTCACGGGGCTTTGTCTTTGCAGCGGTGTATGACGGCTTCGCAGAGCGGCACGCCGTGGATTACCTGCTCGCACACCTCTACACCGCACTGTGCCACCAGCTGGACGCGTGCGGCCTGCATACACTGCACCTAGACTCTCAAGAAAATTCTCTGCACCTGGATGGTTGTGGCGGTGGCGGCTTGCCCTCCCAGGAATCTCACGGAAACGGCCAGCATCTCACATGTGGTCTGCACTGTCAAGCATGCACCGAGAGTGGGAGGGGGCATGACCACAACCACAGGGCATCTGGTGGTTTAGAAGGGACGTGTGAGTGCGGGTGTGAGTGTGAGAGTACAGGTGGGGGTGAGTTGAAAGGAAAGATGAGGTGGATGGTGCGTAAGATGGGCAGGGCGAGTCGGAAAGCGTTCCCGAGGGACCGAAGCCGCTCTGATTGGTCAGAAGCTTCGGAAGAGACGGAGGGATTGGAGCAGGAGGGTGCGTGTGAGGGAACGGGCGGGAGTGAGTCGAAGGGTAAGCTAAGGTGGACGTTGGGTGAGGTGGGGAGGGCGAGCAGGAAAGCATTCCCAAGGGAGCGAAGCCGCTCTGATTGGTCGGAAGCTTCTGATAACCAGGATGACCAAGAAGCATTCCCTGGGGATAACCAGGATCACAGAATGGGCCAGGAGGGTGCATCTGAAAAGGCACAGGGGGTGCGGCAGGAGAGAGGGTCTGATGGCTCTCAGAATGGAAAGCTGAGGGGAGAGAAGGAGGGAGAAGGCAATGGAGAAGGGAAGGAGGAAGGGAAGGGGATCAAACAAGTCGTGGGACATGGTCAGAAACAGTCGCAGCAGCAGCAGCAGCAACAGCACCATCATCACCACCAGGAACGGCAGCAGCAGCAGCACCCTCTCCATGTGCCAAAGGCCTTGCAAGAGCCAGGTAACGACCACAGAAGACACCAAATGATCTTAGGCGCCTTAGAACGCGCCCTTGCCTCTACCGAGTCCTCCTTTCTGACGCGAGTTAAAGACGTCTCTAAAGACCAGCCGGAGTACGCGGTAGGAGGGGCGTCTTTAGTTGCTGCTATAGTCACAGCCACGGATGTTTATGTGATTAATTTGGGGGATAGTAGGGCTGTGATTGTACGGGGGGAAGAGGTGGGGAGGGGATGGCGGGGGGTGTTGAGGAAGGGGGCGGGAGTGGGAGGGGGAGGGAGTGCTAGCCTTGTGAGCGGAAGGAGGAGAAGCGGGGAAGGGGGACGTGGGCGAGGGGGAAGTGGGGGATGGGGGAGTGGTGGAAGAGGGGAGGGAGAGGGGAGTGGTAGCAGCAAAGGGAGTGGCAGAAGAGAGAAAGTGGGGGAAACGGGGGATATATGGGAGAAGGGGGAGAAGTGGGAGAGGGGTGAGATTAGTGGGGCTGTTGGGGCAATGGAAAGTGCGGGAAGCAGGGGTGCAGGAGGAGGGGAAGCAGGAGGAGGGGAGAAGGGAGGAGGCAGAGGAGGGGGAGTGTGGAGGTGGAAGGCAGAGAGACTGACAGTGGACCATAACACGAGCAATGCTGCTGTGAGTCTACACTCTATGAAATTTCACTTGTGGAAATTCTCAGACTGACACAAAGAAGGCAGAGAGACTGACAGGGGACCACAACACGAGCAATGCTGCTGTGAGTCCTCTCTCTTCTTCTATCACCCTCCTCCCCTCCTCGCATTTCTCCTTTCGAGTAATGACAGTGGGAGACCTACCTCTCTTCCCCCAAGTGACTCTTATGAAGTTCCGTTTTAAGTCGACTCACAGGAACTTGATGAGTCGACTTCGCAAATTTTGAGGCGCCTCAAAAGTTCCGGACACTTCACGGCACAACTGATGCTGCTGTGAGTTTCCACTTTGGGGCCCTGGAAATGAACGCCATGGAAATGAACGCCATGGAAATGAACGCCATGGAAATGAGCTCACAACAAAGAGGTACAACCTGCCTCCCGTTAGGCCACAAGCACGACAGGCTAACAGTAATTTATACCATGCAATACCTGTAACGAGCAACACCCCTCGCACCCCTTCCCCCATGCAAACTACAGGAGGTGCGGCGGGTGCAGCAGGCACATGCAGACAGTGACGTCATCAAGAGGGGGCGTCTAAAGGGCAAGATCAAGCTCACACGCGCCTTTGGTGCAGCTTACCTCAAGGACGTGAGTGCTTACCTCAAGGACGTGAGTGCTTACCTCAAGGACGTGAGTGCTTACCTCAAGGACGTGAGTGCTTACCTCAAGGACGTGAGTGCTTACCTCAAGGACGTGAGTGCTTACCATTTAGAGCTTGCCCTGCCCTGCCATTCCTTGTCCTGCCCTTTTCTCCCTGCCCTTCCCTACCCTACACACATCACCCCAGCCACTTCCTCCCCTCTTTTCTCACCTCCCTATCGCCCCTCACTGCAGCAAACAATCAACGATGCCCTGCTGGGCATGTTCCGAGTCAAGTACCAAGCCTCAGCTTCAGCTTCGGAACCATACCTCTCCTCCTTGCCGCACCTCCACCACGTGCGAATCTCACCGTCGGATCGGCTCCTCATCCTCTCATCCGACGGTCTGTATCAGCACATGCAAACCAAGGACGTTTCCCACTGCCTCGGCCCCACCCTAGCCAGTTTCTTCCTCCAGCCAGTAGCAGCTGGTTCGGCACATGGAGGTTCGGGAATTTTAGGTTCAGCACATGGAGGTTCGGGAGCTCGTAGGCTGACCAGAGGGATGTCTTTGGGGGGAAGCTTTCGGATTGGCAGTAAGAAGTGGGTTGAGACAGGGGTGGGGGAAGAGAGAGGACGTGGGGGAAGAGGTGCAGGAGCAGCAGGAGGAGCAGGGGCGGCAGGGGCAGCAAGAGTAACAGGAGCAGCAGCAGCAGCAGGTGCAGGTGCAGCGTCAGCACCATCAGGGGCAGGGGCAGTAACGGAAACAGCAGTAACAGACAACCAATTTACAAGGAGCAGCAGCAACAACATAGCAGGGGGGCTGGTGAAAGAAGCTCTTAAGATGGCCAGTGAGAGCTCTCGAAAACCGCCTGCGGTAACTCAAAGCACGAGCAGCAGCAGCAACAACAACAGCAACAGCAGCAACGGCAGTGGAAACATTGCAGAGGGGTTGGTGAGAGAAGCTATTGAGAGGGCTGCAGAGCGCACAGGCTCCCACCCCTCCGCCCTCTCCTCTCTCCCCCTGGGCACCCAATGCAATGCCACGAGCAATGGCACTGACAGCAGCAGTGGAAACATTGCCGAGGGGTTGGTGAGGGAGGCTCTCGAGAGGGCTGCAGAGCACACAGGCTCCCACCCCTCCGCCCTCTCCTCTCTCCCCCTCGGCACCCAGCGCAGAAAGATCCACGACGATATCTCGGTTATTGTGCTGGAGATTCAGCCACCACCGTTTCAGTCACACCCTGCACAGCCACACCATCTACTGACACACCCTTCACAGTCACACATGCATGCACTGTTCCATCCTACTCTTCCCACCAGCACCACCACCACTAGCAGCAGCGGCAGGCACACTCTCACCAGAATGCTTCGCCGCACACACTCTGCTGCTGCCCGGCCCCTCCCCCATTGCTCTGTGAGCAGCAGCGGATCGGCGGAGAGCACTCAACTGGCGCGAATTGACACTGGAGTAGAGATGTGAGCACGCAACAGTCTCGCATTGACTGAGGCTACATTCCGCTCTGGACATGTCCCAATTGTACATCTCCCAATCGATTCCACCGCACTGCATCTTATTACACCGAATTACACCCTAGTTTCTAACATTGTCAAAATTTTCGCGTCTCTGGTTTAGTTCGGTTCAGAGCGGTACACCCGATTGGGACATGTACGATTGGGACATGTCCAGAGCGGAATGTACCCTGAGAGTGAGTTACGCGTCCCCCACCGCACTCACGCCTCCCCCTCCGTTCAGTCAGCAGCAGCGGATCGGCGGAGAGCACTCAACTGGTGCGAATAGACACTGGAGTAGAGATGTGAGCACCTAGCAGCCTGGACCTGAGGGAGCCGGAGCTACACCGACGGTACACAGGCTGACATAATTTTTTTGAGGCGCCTCAAAACCGCGAGCCATGAGACGACTTGGTTCTCACCAGATTTTATCTGGTTCTGAAGCCTGTGTTTCTGTACAGATTCATATTACGGTATTGTAGTTGACGCTACCTCATTACCAGTTATATTATTATCATTACTAGAAGTGGTGTCCCAATCCCATCACTGCTACCGGTACTCTTACTAATGCAATTTCGGCTATCAGCATTACCATACCCCGTACAACCAGGGCCTTCTTTTGGTTTTTCGGTACTCTGGTTTTCAGAGTAGTTTTTATGCGAACTCTGAAATCCAGAGTGGTTCCTACGCCTTACTCTGAGCTGACAGAGTAACCCTAATACGTGGATTAAAAACCCTGGCACGTCAGAGTAATTTCTTTTTGTACTCTGGTCGTAGTGTAAAATGTTGTGTGAGAAGTATGGAATGGGAGTATTGTTTTTCCAACTGTTTTGCGTTTTGATGTCACTCACACGGTTCAGTCAGTTCAGTCACGAATGTATTTAATAATTGAATGTAATATAGGGTTTAGGGATACTAACTAACTAATAAAGAGGAGGCCCTTGGGCTACACTAGTAGTAGTCATCCTCGCCCTCCGATTCCGCATCAGACTCGATCTTCGCCTTCCCCCTTGCGCAAACTGGTGCGCCGTGCGCAGGTTTCTTGGCGGGGCGACGCTTCTTCTGATTGCGCCAGATGTCGACGACTTCATGCCACACGAAGTCATACTGGAGCATGTGGATGCTCATCAGCTCTGTCAGACGAGCGTCGTTGAGTGACGTGCGTATCCAGCTCTTGATGACGTTCTGCCTGCTGAACCCACGTTCGCACTCAACAGTGTTGAGCGGTAGCACGGACAACGCCTGCCACATCAACATGAGGTTGGGGTACGTGCGAGCCCAGTCGCGCGTCTTCAGTACGTTTTGGAGCCCCTGATAAAAGTCCTCGTCCTCGTGGTGGTTCTTGAGGATGTGGCAGAACGTCTTCAGCTCGAGCTCTGCCGCCCGCAAGTCGAAACCTGCGCGCAGGGACAAATTTGGGTTTTAAACTGAAATAATTTACTGATAGCAGAGCTTAGCCAAACAACACCAGACATGCGCAACTCACAAAGTGTTCTAGATTCTCACCGCGCAGACAGTTGTTGAACAGCACAGAGTTTTGCCGAAGCCACATGAGGCAGCGCCGCTCGCGTGTGTCGAGGTTGGGGGGCCACGATTCCACCTTGAACAGCCTCGTCCCGCCCATGCGACGAAGATCCGCCATCCGCTCTGTGAGATTATGGACGGTCTGCTTGGCGAATGCCTTGCACATCTTCTCGCAGTCGCGCATTGTTCCGCCAAACTTGTGGCCAGCGATGGGCTCCTCGCTTAGAACAATCTCCTGGCTCACTGCGCGGCCGTTGGAGTCCACGCCTTCCACTTTCACCTCACGCTTGCCATCCTTGTGGCGCTCCAGGAAAGGCGATAGCTGTGGGCTAAGGCCCTCCCCGAAATTCGTCTCGTAGTCGATGTAGCAATGTTGGATGTACGACACCGTGCGGTCCACCTCCTGCGCCACGATTGTGACGTCCACCTGGGCGGAGGGCGGGAGGGTTTGAGATAATACAGCCAAACATAATAAGTTCACATTACAGAGTAAACAAACGTGTAAACCACCATGCAGAAGTGGGAAACAACGTCGAGATAATACTGCATAACAGTACCTTTCGCCTCTGGAAAAAGCGGTTCAGATTGTTGAGCTCGGCCAAGATGTCTGCCAGAAAATAAAGGCAAAAGTGAAACTTCAACGTCTGCACAGTGCTGGCTATCTTGTGCTCGTACTCGATGAAGACGCAGATCGCCGCCCCAAGAACCCGGCACATCCGCAGCACTGCCTCGCCCCGTGCCAGCCAGCGCACGTTGTGGAGCCCCTGGTGCTCCAGATTGGTCTTGTGGTACACATGCTGCAACTCCTTGAACCGCTCATACCAGGGAGTTGACTTCCCGACGATCGACCCGAGGGCCCTGATGGCGTCGTCCACGATGTTGAAGTCTGGATAGGCCTCTGCTGCATTCTTGACAGCTAACGCTTCTCTGCACGGCAGGGAACAGGGGGTTGCAGAGTAGGATATGTAAAACACAAAAAGAAAATCACATAGACTCAGAGAGATGTTTTACCGTGTTAAAATACCAAAAACATTTTGGAATGATAACACACCTGTGCGCGATGCAGTGGCACCCGACGAGATGCGCAATCTGCATGCGAAGGCGCGTCACAAGCCCAGTTTCCGATCCGACCATGACAGAGGCGCCGTCTGTTGACATCCCAACAATTTTCTGAAGGTCGATGCCGATGGTCTCCAGATGTTGGAGCAGAACGGCATGCAGCGACGCCGCGTCACATTGAGTGGCGGTAAGGAGCGTCAAGAACTCCGTTACCACCACGCGGTCCTTCAGGAAAGTGACAAACACAATCATGTGTTTGCCACGAGCGCGGTCTGTGCTCTCGTCGCACATGATGCCAATGTATGGCGACGCGTGCACGTGTCGCATTTGCTCGCGGTGAAGGAAAGTGGTTAAAGCCTTTACCATTTCCGAAAAGCCGTACCTGGCCACTACCAACAGTTCGTTGTTAGTGCATATTGAAAAAAAAAAATGAAAATCAAGGAGTACGGAGTTCAACATCAAGTGAGACTCACCGTGTGATGTACCCGCCGTAAGACTGTCGAGGTATGTTGGCGACGCCCTCCTCAGCAAGAAACTGCACGAGCCTGGGGTACATCTTAATCGGTGTGTCCGTCTTGCATACAAACACGATGCTCCGCATTAGCCGCGAAATCCGCGCGCCCTCCGGATCGCCCTTCGCAAAGTCATCGATGCGTTTCTGCTCCTTGATGTTCTTCATCAGACCCATTTGCTTCTTCATGGCATCGTTGTGTTTCACGCTCTCCTCGTGCCAGCGAAAGGACCCAATCTGGAGGTCCGGACCTCCTTTCCCATTGCGGCCATAGCGAGCATCGTCCTTCCCGTGCTCTTTACAGACACTGCAGCGAACACAAGGGAAACCGTCAGTCGATTTATCAAGGATTAACCATGGGAACCGCGGAAGCCATTCCGACAAGTAGCTTTTCTGGGCCTTCAAATACAACTTCTCCTTCTTCTCCTCTGCGGTGAGTCGGACTACAGGTGTTGTTTTCTTGGTAGGTGGCGGCGGAGTCGGTGCAGGCTTAACGGGCTGCAGACCCATCCCGAGCACGGACTGCGTGAAGCGCCGCTTCTTCGGCGTCTGTGAGGCGGTCGAGTCTGGAACAGACACATCCGCGACATGTGTTGGTGCTGTCTCGGCCGGTTCAGCGATGCTTGGGTGGTGCGATCCATCGCACACCTCGTTCTGTCCGTCGTGGTCTTCATCTTCTTGGCGTGGCGAGCGAACCCACACCTCGACCCCATCGGAATGCTCGTCGTCGTCCGGTCCATCCCGAGGATACCAATCGTCGCCTCCCCAGTAGTCACCACCGCCATCTTGCTGGTCGCCGGCGTGCTCGTGGGAACGATGTACCCTGCGCAGAAACTCCATACCTGTGATGGGGCGAGAGCTGCATGACGGTCCGGGATCAGGATCAGGCGCAGAAGAGTTAGCGTGGTCTGCGTCATTAGCCATCTGTGGCAAGGCTGAAAGAGAAGGGTGGCTTGAGGCGTGGTAGTGATGCTGGGTACCTCAAGCCTGATCACGGATTGTGGAAATGGATGGAGAAACACGGGTTCATCCCCCGGTGAGCCAGCCGAGCACTAGCAGGGCTTGGCCGCGTCGCCCACGTTTACACCTTCCGTGCGCTGTATCATTCCTTGATCCTGACTGAAGTTGAGATGTGTAACAGTGTGTGCGGGCTGGGAAAGGAAAACTGCCACTCCAGCCAATCAGCTCGCAAAATGCCGCCAACACACGAAGCGAAATCTTGATGAAGTGCTCGGCGACTCGGTTTAACCCCGGTAATTGGGGAAAGGGGGGAGGGGGGGGGGGGGGGGGGGGGGGGGGGTCGGCTAGGGGGCCTGTATCCTCTGTACAGAGTAAACACCATCCTTAGAAAAAAAACCCTGGGGCCTCAGAGTGAACTATATCTCAACTCTGATACATCAGAGAAAACACAACTCCCAAAATCATAACCCAGCAGGTACAGAGTCCCTCTAAAAAACAACTCTGATTTTCAGAGAAACAGAGTGATTTACTCGGATAACGTGGGCCCTGCGTACAACTCACAAACACAACACAATCCGATAAGAGTACCTTGAGGTGGTGTTGCAGCTAGTAGAGTCAACCCATGCCGGCCAATCTTAGAAACAGGACAAGATTGGTTCATGCAGATGGGTGACTGAGAAGGGCTTGGCGTGGGGTGGGGCAGGGCTGTTATATGCTGCTGGGGTTAGCTGCTGCGGATGCTGTCAAAACGGAACCTGGAACCAACCGCAGCACGCACCTACCTACCACAGCAGCAACATTTCGAAGATCAGTCAACCAATGGCAGAGCGGCAGATGGGACAGGGGTGTCTCCGGGTGACGAGGCAGAGGAGGCAGGAGGAGCAGGCAACAGCATGGCAACCCTAAACCGTAGCTTCTAAACCCTAAACCCCACCCCATCTGCAATTGCTGCTGCTGTCGCCGCCGCCACTGCTGTTGGCAGACGGAACTATTCAACCAATGGCAGAGCGGCAGATGGGGCAGGGCTGCTTCCGGGAGAGGAGGCAGAGGAGGCAGGAGGGGCAGGCAACAGCATGGCCGCACGGCTCAATAGGGGGGCAGTCCGCCTCCTCACAGCAGATGACACAAGATGTGTTACCTGCAGCCTTGCTTGCCCCACCCCTGCTGCTATTGCTGCTCTTGTTGCTGCTGCTGCTACCGCTGCTGCCACTGCTGCTCCTCTCCTCACATGGCAGACTCTGGCTGCTGCCCTCACTGAAACCGGGAACGCTGGTCCTGTCCCCGGTCCCACCACTCCCCTCACCAGCCCCACAAGGAACTTCGCGGCAGGGCATGCCTGAGGGGTGGCCTGTGCCAGGGACAGTGGGCAGCCTATTCACCGACTCATCAATGTAGCCCAGGGCAAGGCCCTCACCGGCCCCGCCACGCCCCTCACCGGCCCCGCCACGCCCCTCACCGCCCCCCCCACGCCCCTCACCGCCCCCCCCACGCCCCTCACCGCCCCCCCCACGCCCCTCACCGCCCCCAGTCATGGCTGATGGTGTGCCTGTGGTAGGCACAGTGAGCAGCTTGGTCAGCGGTACATCAAGGTAACCCAGGGCAAGGCGAGCAAACTCCGCTGCTTTCACCCGCACTCGATCCTCCTGCTCTTCCCTCTCCTCCTGCCTCTTCTTCCCCCTCTTCTTTTCCCACTGGGTTCTCTTCTGCTCCTCCCTCTGCTCCTCCTCCTGCTTCTCTCTCTCCACCCTACCAGGCTCAACCTCCTCTGCTATTCCCACCATTACCCCCACAGCCCCCTCTGATATGCCCATAGTGCCGTGCTCGGCCATTGCTCCATCCTCCTCCCTCTTCTGGTGCGCCTCAAAAGCCGCCATTTCCATCAGAATCCCCACAGCCCCTTCTAAGAAGAACATAGCTCCGTGCTCCTCCTTGCCCCCCCTGCTCTTGCACACTGCAGCAGCCAGCAGCGCTCCCAGCCCTCGGATCGGCGCCACGTGGCAGCGCAGCAGCCGTACGATCGGAGAGACGGTGGTCCAGATGAGGTGGAGGGGGAGGGAGGAGGGGTGAGAGGCGAGGAGGAAGGAGGAGATGGAGGGGAGTGTGGGGGAGGAGAGGAGGTGTTGCTGTGCTCGTGTGAGGGAAGAAGAAGAGGAGGCCCTCTCTTGCTTGCCCACATTTTGAGAAGTTTCAACACTCTTTCCCACAGAAAAAAGTGTTGCATCCGTCGCATCAGTCCCATGTGTCGCATTGGAATGACAAGAGTTGGCCAAGGGATGTTCATCGCTATCCTGCATGACCTGAGAACCTTCCAGAAGCAGGCAGAGATTAGCGAGGGTTAGGCACGCATACAGCCGAGCCTCTTCTCGCTTCCCCTCCTCTTCCTCCTCCACTTCCTCTTCCTCGTCTTCATCGTCTTCCTCTTCTTCCTCCTCCTCTGCTTCTTCCTCCTCCATCCCTTCCATTTCCTCCTCTTTCTCTTCTTCCCTTCTAGAATAGTCCCTTTCACTTGTACCCAGTCCTTCTCCCATTCCTTGCTCCCTACTCCTCCCCATCTCCTCTACCTCTCCTTCTTCTCCCCCTCCTTCCCCACCTTGCACTCTAAAACCAATTTCCCCTTCCTCTCCTCCTTCCACTCCTCCCCTTCCTTTCCCTTCACCTCCTTCCCCATCTCGCCTCTCTTGACACCTATTAACCCCTCTCCCTCCTTCCACCATCCCATGCTCTCCCCTCTCCCCCACTTGTTGCAAAATTTCATTCTGCTGCAGCAACGCACACTCACTGCAGTTATTCTGCATTGGCTGGCACTGCCTACAGTTGACCGGCGTTGACTGACACTGAGTGAACGCTGCCTGGCACTGACTGCAGTTGACCTGCGTTGACTGGCCCTGCCTACAGTCAGCATGCGTTGACTGGCACCCAGTACAGTTGACCAGCGTTGACTGGGGCAGCGACTGATCAAGCAGGCTCAGGAGGGGCAGTAGGCATCTGTAGCGCACGATGAGAGTGAGACCTAGGCTCTGATTGGCTGAAATGTGCCATAGCGCCCCCGCTGCTGCATACTGTGTGTGTGGGGGAAAAAGGGAGGACAGAGAGTGGGAGGAGAGAAAACGGAGGGAGAGAGAATGGGGGGGAGAAAGAAAGTGGGGAGAGAGAATGGGGAGACACAGTACTCGGGAGCAGATATAAGAATGACAGAGTAAAAGGGGACAGGGAAAAGGGGAGAGAGGGAGGGAGGACAAATAGAGATGCGGTGCTGTGGAAAATATGTGATAAAACAAAAGTACAATCCAACAAAATTGAGCAGGGGTTGGGGGGCGGGGGTGTGGGAGGCTTGGGGAGAAGAAACGAGAGGCGGGAAGGGAAGAATGGGGGAAAGAGCAGGCGGACCGCGAAAGTGAGAGTACTTTTGAGGCGCATCAAAAGTCGGACGGTGAGAGTGTGAGAGTACCTGCATCGAGGGCTGATGGTGACAAAGCAGCGCGAGAGGCAATGGCAGCAGGCCTGCTGACTCAGCAGCGCAACAAAGGGAGTGAAACTGTGAGAGTACCTGCACCGAGGGCCGATGGTGATGGCTAAGCAGGGCTAGCAGCAATGGCAGCAGGCCTGCTGACTCAGCACGTAGGCAGTTCGAATCAACCTGAGAGAGGGAGAGTGCAAGGAGATGAGTGAGCGGCTGATGGTGAGGGCTGATGGTGATGGCTAAGCAGGGCGAGCAGCAATGGCAGCAGGCCTGCCGTCTCAGCACGTAGGCAGTTCGAATCAACTTGAGAGCGCGAGAGAGTGTGCAAGGAGAAAGTGAGCGAGAATAACAGACGAGGAGACCTCTAGTTGCTTGAAACTGACTGAATGGAGTGATGGAAAAGAGTATTTTCTAAAAACGCTCTTACAGAGTAGCAGATGCTCCACACAGCGAGGCAGGAGTGTTTCAGCGCCAACACATCGCCTTCCCGGCTCAAATATTCCCGCCTTGAGGCTTCCCGTCTCGTATCGTCTTTCCTGGTGCTGACGTGTTTCCCTTTCACAGCACGACACTCTCGCCCAGGCGCATGGTGGTGGTTGCAGCAGTGGGTGCGGTTCAAGTGGTGACTGCAGCGAACAGTGTGGTGCCAATGGTCGCGGCAGTGGTGCTGCAGGATCCGAGCGAGCAGGTCCAGTGCGCCTTCCTCCCCAAGCTGCTCTGCATAGATAACGTGTCATATCACCCCCAGTCACAACACCCACAGTCACATCGCCCACAGTCACTTCACCCACAGTCACATCACCCACAGTCACACCATACCACAGTCACATCGCACGACAGTCACATCATGAGCACACGCCAAACACCACAGGAAGCTCACTACATTGACATGCAGTGACTGCTGCTTGCTTGCACTACCAACACCACCATCTCAAACCATCTTAGCCTGTCTCGCACCATCTTAACCCAATCACACCCGATTGCACCACTATCCACCCACCTTGCGTTTGTTCCCTGGGTGGGCACACGCCAGCCCTCACAGACAGCTCACTACAGTGGCATGCAGCGACTGCTGCTTGTACTATCAAGATCACTGTGTCGAACACATCTTAACCTGACTCACACCGTCCCAACCCAAATACATCACATCCCAACCCCTCGCCACCCATCTTAACCTGTCTCATGCCGTCTCAACCGAAACGCACCCCATTGCACCACTCTCAACCCACCTTGCGTTTGTTCCCTGGGTAGCCACACGCCAGACCCCACAGACAGCTCACTACAACGGCATGCAGCGACTGCTGCTTGCACTACCAGCACCGCCATCTAAGTCCATCTCAACCCAATCGCACCGCTCTCCACCCACCTTGCGTTTGTTCCCTGGGTGGGCACACGCCAGACCCCACAGGCAGCTGGCTACAGTGGCATGCAGCGACTGCTGCTTGCACGCCCTACAGCCACAACCCCCTTCTCTCAACCCAACCCCCTGCTCCCGCTGCTCCTGCTGCTCTTCCGTCGCCCCCGTTTGCTCCTCCATCCTAGCTCCTTGCCCCTCCCCAGCACCTTCAGGGTCAACAGCGGGATCAGCCCTAGAGTTAGAGCAATCAGCAGCAGAACCAGCACGGCCGGAAGCAGGGGCTGTCCCGGCGTCGGCACTATGAGCAGCACAATCAGCTGCAGGAACAGCACGGCCAGACCCAGGACCAGTCCCAACGTCAGCACTATGAAGAGCGGCACAATCAGCTGCAGACGTAGCAGCAGGGCCGATCCCAGCGTCAGCATAACCAGCAGCTGGGCCTGTCCCAGCGTAAGCACTATGAGCAGCACAATCAGCCGCAGCAGCAGAAGCAGGGCCAGTCCAGGCGTCAGCACTATGAGAGACAGGAGATGGGGGCATAGGGGGCAGGTGGGAGAGCAAGCGTGCGAGCAAAGGCAGAATGCCCTTGCTGATCAGCAGGGACTTGAGTGTCTGTGGGGGGAGGAGAGAGGGGAAAGGGGCGAGGGGAGAGGGCACGGGGGGCAGGTGGGAGAGCGAGCGTGCGAGCACAGGCAGAATGCCCTTGCTCATTAGCAGGGACTTGAGTGTCTGTGGGGGGAGCAGAGAGGGTGAGGGAAGAGGGGAGGCTAGAGAATGCACGTGAACGTGCTTTCAGCACAATCGGCAGCACAATTGGCAGTAGAACTTGCTCATTAGCATTGACATGAGTGTCTCTGGGTGAAAGCAGAGAGGGTGGGGGGAGACGGAAGAGGGGAGAGGGGAGAGGAGAGAGGGGAGAGGGGGAGAGGAGAGAGGGGAGAGGGGAGAGGGGGGAGGAGAGAGGGGAGAGGGGAGAGGGGGGAGGATAATGGGCGGCGAAATGCACAACCCTTGCACGAATTCGTCGCACTGAGGCAGAATTCCCTTGCTTATTAGCAGGGGAAAATAGAGAAGGTAAGGCAAGGGGAGAGGGGAGAGGAGAGATGGGAGAGGGGAGAGGGGAGAGGGGAGAGGGGATAGGGGAGGTGGGAGTGGGGAGAGAGGAGAGGGGAGAGGGAGAGGGGAGAGGGAGAGGGGAGAGGGGAGATGGGAGAGGGGAGAGGAGAGAGGGGCGAGGGGCGAGGGGAGAGGGGAGAGAGGAGAGGAAAGAGGGGAGAGGGGAGATGGGGATGGGAGAGGGGAGAGGGGAGAGGGGATCGGGGAGAGGGGATAGGGGAGAGGGTAGAAAATGCACGTGCACGTGCTTTCACGAATTCGTTGCGCAGAAGCAGAACGCCCATTATCATCAATAGGAACTAAATGTTTGTGGGGAACTCAGAGATATAAGCGTGAGAAAGGGAATGTGAGAGCCAGCGGGCGAGCAGAGAGAAAATGCTCTCGCGTAGCAGAAACGACAGCCAAGTTCTTTTAGTCGACTTGAATTGACTTTTGGGTCGATTCGAAAGGGATGCTTCAGAGGCGTGCGGCAGAGGCAGGATGCTCTTGCGTAGCAGCAAGAACTGGCAAGATCAGAAGAAGAATCAGCCGCACAGAAAATCGGAGGACGGGGAGGGGGATGAAGAGATGAGGGATTCGGAAGGAGGGTTGGTGAACTGACATATTCTGAGTGGGAGAAACGGCTCAACGCACGAAGCGCCTGATTTCTGACGTGTGGCTTTGCTGAAGTGGCGGCTTCCAATAGGCCGTCGAGAATCCCCGCCTCGTCCAGCGCGTGCGCGAGTTCCATTCTGCCCGGGTTTCACGCGGCGCTCGATGAAAAAATTGAACACACAGGCTGGATAATATTATATCACCCAAAAAGATGTGGGAGTTACTGAATATAGTTAAAATTAGGGAGTTACTGAATATAGTTCGAAGATGTGGTATGTAACCTGGAGCCGATTCGTGGAAGTTAGGAACTCCAGCATCCGTCCTAGTAAGTCTATCGAGCCGCGGTGAGTGGAAGTAGAAACAAAAAGCTTTTTTCACGTTGGAAAATCTGCTTTGGCGACATTCCCAGTGACTGAAAACCCTACTTGGATGCTTCCGTGAAGACTCGTTAGGAAGTGATCCAGAACGGTCTTGCAAATGTAGCCAAAACAGGTTGAACTTCAAGATATCAAAACACAGCTCTCACCAGATATTATATCAACTATTAAACCCTAAACCCTAAACCCGACTTGGATGCTTCCCTGAAGACTCGTTAGGAAGTGATCCAGAACGGTCTTGCAAATGTAGCCAAAACAGGTTGAACTTCAAGATATCAAAACACAGCTCTCACCAGATATTATATCAACTATTGCTGTATATATAATCATAATATAGTAGACAGAATACTATGTGGAATAACTTATGATTGAAGTACTGGAATCATATTATGCTTGCTTGATTATCAACTTCTTGTCATTTTATATTCTCTAAAATCTCCTTATTAGATACATTCTTTGTCACTCCCACCTCTTCCTTGTCCCTTTCCCCACCTCTTCTCCTCGATCATTCAGATGTTGGTTTCCGTGCAAGTCCACCTTATTCCCCCCACCATCCTCCCTCCGCTCATTACTCTCTCCTTGCCAATGCATTATCCTTCTCCTTTCAGTCAGCTGAATCCTCCACTCCCTCTGAAGCTGCTCCAACTCAGCCTCTACCCCTTCCTCCTCCCGAAACTTCTCCCCAGAAGCGGCTTGGTCCGCCACATTTCCCTGTAAAAACACACTGCTGAAAGAGGCTACTCTATGGCCTTTTTCCAAAAATCCTTCCGAAACTCCTTGCACAGAGTTCTCTGATGGCTCGGTGCCGAGGTAGGTTGCCAAGCTTGCACTGGGGGTTTGCTGCAACCATGCCTGAGACGAAGGTCCGGCCAGGCCAGGTGGATGTCTGGCCAGACCAGGTGAAGGTCCGGCCAGACCAGAAGGCTTGAATCCCGGAACAGACACGTGTTTGCTTGCTACTGCAGCAGAATGAAGAGACTGCAGCTTTCCTGCTCGTACTCCCTCTCTTCCTCCTCCTCCTCCTCCTCCTCCTCCTCCTCCTCCTCCTCCTCCTCCTCCTCCTCCTCCTCCTCCTCCTCCTCCTCCTCCTCCTCCTCCTCCACCACCACCACCACCACCACCACCACCACCACCACCACCACCACCACCACCACCACCACCACCACCACCACCACCACCACCACCACCACCACCACCACCACCACCACCACCACCACCACCACCACCACCTCCACCAAGTGAAAAACCTTCCTCATCCAACTTACTCACACGCCTCTCTGCACCAATTAGTCTCTGTGAAAACCGGTAACGATCTGTGATATCAGCCCCTGATCCAAGCCTCACACCAGAACTGACACTGTACCCTGCTCTTGATGCCGTTCCTGCTGCAGCACCAGCATTGAGCCTAGAACGGACAGCTAATGCAGGACCGGTTGCCAAACCAGAGCCGGCTGCTACCAATCCAGCTTCCATTGCCGATCCTACTCTGGCATGAGAGGTCTGAACATCACCACCCGGGCCAGCAGCAGTTTCATCAATAGCACTAGATTCAGCAGCAGCAGCAGCAGCAGCAGCAGCAGCCAAATAGGAGGCAACAGCATCAGCAGAAGCAGTCTCCACTCTGCCTGTCCTTCCTGATACGTCTGCTCCTGGGTATGAACCTGTTTTGCCAGACCACCTGAAGGGAAAGTGAGCTGGTAGGCTGAGGGGCGAAGCTGTGTCAGGAGCAGTGCTGGGTAGCAAAGCAGCAAAGCCACCACTTGAGGCAGCAGGGGCAGGATAACCACCAGCAGCACGAACAGCACCGCTCACACCAGCACCAGCCGCAGCAGCGGATGCAGCTCCTGTGAGGCTATAAAAAGCCATCGCATCATGGCTGAAACTGTACTTGGGGTACATACGTGAAGCACCCGCACCACCAGGGCCACCAGCACCGCCAGCGCCACCAGCACCGCCAGCGCCACCAGCATTGCCAGCGCCACCAGCATTGCCAGCGCCACCAGCATTGCCAGCGCCACCAGCATTGCCAGCGCCACCAGCACCGCCAGCGCCACCAGCATTGCCAGCGCCACCAGCACCGCCAGCGCCACCAGCATTGCCAGCGCCACCAGCACCGCCAGCGCCACCAGCAGCAGCACGAGCATCGCCAGCAGCACCAGAGGAGGCAGCAGCCGTGAGACTGGAAAAATCCTTTGCAGAACAACCGCCAGAACCACCACGAGAATCAGCAGGGGCAGCAAGACCAGCTGCAGCACGAGCAGCACCGCCAGCAGTCAGCGATTGTGCTGACTGTGCTACATGCACCGACTGGGCTGCAGGCAGTGAGAGAATTCCGAAAGTATCCGCCTTTGCGACTGGAGGATGTGAAGGCATGGTTTCCTGGTGATCGTTCTCTGCCTCGCGGTCTGCGGACCATGTGAGGGGACATAAGGAGAGAGTGCGTGCGCAAGGGAGATGTGGAGAGGTGTTACATTGCACAGCAACAGATTGGAATACCTCGCACATATGAGAGGGATGCATACCCCTACACAAGGGAGCGGCACATAGAAGGAATGTATGTATGCACTTGCTTCTACAGGTGGATCCACTTCCTTTCACGTGTCTCAAAAACTCTCGAAAGCCACCTTCTTCCATGAACAGTCGTTCATCTCGCCTGTTCTTCTCACCTCACCTGTTCTTCTCACCTCGCCTCTTCTTCTCACCTCGCCTCTTCTTCTCACCTCTCCTGTTCTTCTCACCTCGCCTGTTCTTCTCACCTCGCCTGTTCTTCTCATTTCGCCTCTTCTTCTGACCTCGCCTCTTCTTCTCACCTTGCCTGTTCTTCACATTTCGCCTCTTCTTCTCACCTCGCCTCTTCTTCTCACCTCGCCTGTTCTTCTCACCTCGCCGGTGGGCATTCATGTGGCATCCCAGCCCCTGCGGCTGGGCGAATCTCTTGCCGCAGAACCGGCACGCATACAGCAGTACCTCTTCGCACCGCGTCAAACTCCTCCCCAGCTCCAGCATCATCCAGGACATAGAAGAGGATCTCGGTGCCTCTGATGGTGCTGAAATTGCTGCTTGACGCACCTGCTGCTGCTGCTGCTGCTCTCCCTCCTCTTCCTGCTTCTGCTGCAGCGGCGGCGGCTCCAGCTCCTGCTGCTGTTTCTGGTGCCGTGACATTGCCACAGCACTTCTCTTCTTTGCTATTAAAGGCAGTGGTGTGCCCACTGCTGTTCCTGGAAACTCAAAAGTGGTGGCAGCAGAAGCAGCAGCAGCGGTGGCGGCAGCAGCAGCTGTGGCTGTGAAAGCAGCAGCAGGGGTACTGACAGTGGGACTGTGCCCTGATGCAGCAGTGACAGAGCCAGATTTAGAAGCAGTAAGGGAGGAGATAGAAGGTGCAGAAGCAGAAGATGAAGAAGAACCAGGAGAAGCAGAAGGATCAGAACGGGGGGCAAAGGGGGAAAGCCTAGCAAAACCGGAAGCAGTAGCAGTAGCAGCATCCGCAGCAGAAGCAACAGCCACAGTAGCATGAAATAATTTCTCCTCGTATGGGTGATGCCTCTGCTGCTTCCTCCTCATCTTCACAGGGGAGACTGTAGGTGCCCTAAAACCACCTTCTGACACACTCGCTGCTGCCATATATCCTACTGCCACACTGTCTGCTGCCATTTCTCCAACTGTCACATTCTCTGCTGCCATATCTCCCACTGTCACATTCTCTGTTGACATATCTCCTTTAGTCACGTTCGCTGCATCCATATTCGCTATCACATGCCCTACCGCCACACCCTCTCCGATAGCTGCCACAGTGTGGTCTGCAGCCTCTGATCCTGTTGCTGCTCCGACCAGCTGCACGGCAAGCATTGCACCTGTCACTGCCCCTTCTGACCCACCACGCACTGCGGCGAATTCTCCAGCAGCCGCCGCAGCGTGAACTGCAGCCTCTGATACTGTTGATGCTCCGACCAGCTGCATGGCAAGCATGGCCCTTGCCGTTGCCCCTTCCGACCCATCATGCACTGCCGCAACCTCTCCAGACAGTGGATTTCCGTCAATGGGAGAGGTGGCAGTCGAATCAGGAGGTATGGCAGCAGTATCAGGGGAGAGGGTAACTGAAACAGGGGATATGGCAACTGGAATAATAAGGGTCTGGGCTGCATGTGTGTAAGGTAGGGCGAGAGAAGGACCGGTAGTGCTGCTAAGTTTAAGAGGGCTTTTGAGATTGCTGGTGCTACTGCGATGGCTCATACTTGTTGACTTCACGGTGCTTCTGGGACTGATGGTGCTTCTGGGGTGGTTACAGCAGCTGGTATGGCTGCTGGCAACGATTGCTGGTGTGCAAGCTGCTTCCGCGACTTGCTGCCTTCCTTGCTCTGACACGCGTGCTGGTGCTGCTCCTTCCGTTTCTGCTGCTGTTGCTCCTTCTGTTGCTGCTGCTGCTGCTGCTGCTGCTGCTGCTGCTGCTGCTGCTGCTGCTGCTGCTGCTGCTGCTGCTGCTGCTGCTGCTGCTGCTGCTGCTGCTGCTGCTGCTGCTGCTGCTGCTGCTGCTGCTGCTGCTGCTGCTGCTGCTGCTGTTGGTGATACTGCATCTGCTACTGCTGGCCTTCCTGGTTGCAATTCGAAAGCAGTGGGAGGAAAGGGGAGGAAAGGGGAGGAAAGGGGAGGACCAGCAGCAGCAGCAGCAGCAGCAGCAGCAGCAGCAGCAGCAGCAGCAGCAGCAGCAGCAGCAGCAGCAGCAGCAGACGAAGCAGGAGGAGGAGCAGCAACAGCAGAGGTGGCAGCGGCGGCAGCAACTCCATCAGCATTGTACGATCGCGTGAGAATCTGATGGATGTTGATCCATGACGGATCCATGGCACAGCTCAAACGCATGTCCCGATCCAGCATGCCTTGGTCCAGCATGCCTTGATCCGCCAAGGCTTGATTCAGAATTGCTTGATCCAGCAATGCTTGGCCCTGCGTGCCCTGGTCCAGCAGTGCTTGATCCACCAATGCCAGGTTCAGCAGTAACTGATCCAGCATGCCTTGGTCCAGCATGCCTTGAGTCAGCAATGTTTGATCCAAAGACACGAAGGCTGGATCTAGCAATGCAGGGTCAACCATCGAAGGGTCAAGCAATGCAGTGTCAATTAATGTCATATCAAGCGATGCAGGGTCAACCAATGGAGTGTCTAACATCATCGCCACGCCATCCTCTTGTGGAAGTTCCCCGGGTTGAGTCTCAATTCCTTGCTTCATTAATCCTCGATCTTCCATCAGACCTTTGCTAGTTGACCTGCTCCTCTTCTTCACGGGATTGAGTTTCGTCAAGAGTTTATCTTATCTGCTGAAATCACCAGGTCTTCTGGGTTCACCCTATTCGGATCCTCCTAATACTGATCCCTTGAGCCTCTGACCTTCCGGCAGTGACCTTTTGGTGGTGTCTGCAGGCTGCTGTCATGGACCAGTTGATCTCCAATGCATCTCAACCGTCCATGCTCCGCCTCAAAACTCCATATCAAGCCTTGCTGGTTGTCATATTTCCATAGTAGCGCTTCACTCCCTCCAAAGCAGGACAGCCCTGAGCATATTGAGGCTGGACATATATGCTTCCAATGCACTCGAGAGACGTCTCTAAGGAGGTATCACGCCTCAAGGAACGAATGCTTTTTGTGAGCGACCACATTCAGTTTTATCAGCGAGAGAGCTAGTAGCGCCTCTAAAGTTACTAGCTTGTCAACGACTGGTGGCACGACATCAAGCCCGAGTCTTCCCCAAAAAAAAAAACCCTCCGCAAATTTCTGGCCCAAAGGTTTTCTCGCGGTTACCCCACTGGGGTTACAGGCAGGGTGATTCCTAGAAAGTTTCTTCTTTGAAGAAAGAAATCAGGAGAAAAAAATCATAACATCCAAAGTGAAATTAATTGAGTCCGTTGAAGGGATGTCTACCAGTGGTCACAGCTGCCATGACCGCGGATGCCAAAACTCCAGGGTTTGCAAGCTTGACGGGATTCTCTTGCTAGACCTCTCTGAGTATTTTTTTTCTGGAGTCGTTCTTAACAGCAATGATTGATGCCTTGTAACCCAGGAGCGCCAGCGGCTACATAGTAGCCGGTGTTTCGTACCCCTTATTGGGGGTTGGTCGCGGTTGCCTTGAACGGTCGGGTTGGGTTGAACGTAGGGTTACCAGAATACCCGAGAGTGTGCAGTGTAGAGTGAGGACGTTTGTACCAAGGCCCTCACACACTTGGTCGAGGCGACCAGGCAGTCAACTAACCGGTTGGTCGCGACCACATACAGCCAGGTCGAGGCAGCCAATCCGCAACGTACCAACGTGGTGCACAACCGGGTGTTAACGAAATCATTGCGGGCAGGTTGCACTAACAAGACTCGATGTGAGTGGTGAAAGAAATTTTTCCATCGAAGGTTAGCCAGTAAATATTGACGCAGTGACTGTTGGGTCTACCCGAAATACTATTTTCATGGTTGGGTACCAAAAACAGGCGGGTGGTACATTTGCAGGTTGCCTGCTTGGTACCAACCTGCCAGATTTACAGCCCGGTCGACCCGACCAGTCAGGCTGGGTCGACTTCTTGAGGCAACCGGGGCCTGCCACCAAATTACGTAACACGCTCCAATGCGACTCACTGATAAATCTGCGCACTTCTTTTGCTACTCGTAACTTTGCTAAGATTGCTGGCGTGTGGTTTGGGAACCGTAGTTGAAGAGGAGCAGCATCCATCCTAGGGACGTATCCGTCATGTGTTGGGGCCTGTTTCTTCACGGACATTTGTCAGTTTTCTTTAAGAATTCAGGGCTAGATTCAGCTCAGCTCGTAGATTTTCAGGGTCCGTTCGGCCCTGACCCGTATTCTTAGCGGACAGGCTGGGGCCTTCCCCGTAATTCCTGCTACCTGGCCCCATACCCCCGTCCCACTCTTAGACCGCGAACGTGGCCCTCTCCCGTCCCCTCCCAACAACACCCCCCCCCCCCCCCCAACCCCTGACCCTACTCTGTTTTAAGCTCGAAAACAGTATTTACGAACTTATGTTCGGAGCAGGATGTTAAAAAAATGGTCTGAATCCTAAGGCAGGACTCCCTTCCCGGATATTTCAGGGCTTGTTCTCGACCAGCTCTGCTTCATAAGGTTTGAGCCCAGACCAAGTGCAGAGCACCGATTTGATCCGGAATTTGGTTCGGATGCGTTTGTGCTGGACGGACAAAAGCTGTACAGTGACCTCATGAATGCCGATTCTCTGCAGTGATTCTCCACGTCAAATACTGCTGGCAAAGTTGTCTTTTTACCCACCAACTTTGGTGTGAGAGCGAGAAGATATGCACTGAACCGCGTGAACACACTGAATAGTATCTCTGTTTCTTGGACGTATATCCGGTTAAATTGAGTTACGCTCTAAAAGTGCTCGTTCAGAATTCTACAAATAATCTTGCGCGAAAGTCACGAGTGGCTAGAGAAATCGCAAATTAATATTTTAGCAATTACTATTTGCGTATCAGGCGCGGCTAAAAAAAAAACCCCGCATCCTGGACACGTCCACTTCTGGTTCACGAGCTGGTTCCCGAGCCAATCCGTCGGGTCTGCGTCGGAACCGTATGGAATCGCACACTTGAGACACGTCCTGAGCGTGACACGAAAATCTAAGGAGGTGTCTCAAGTGCCCGAGTCCTCTGTCGAAGAGAAAGGCCCCGCCCTCGCTTGGGCGCAACCGATCTCGCCGTCGACGGGAAGTTTTTGACGGTTTGGTAGAAGAAGCGGGCTTCTGCAGTTTGACGGAAGTTTCGATCGAGCAGGCTCTGCTCGACAGAATCTGGTCGACGAGCTCTGCGCGACGAGCTCTGGTCGACGATCTCTGCGGGATGAGCTCTCGTCGAAGAGCGCTGGTCGACGACCCTGGTCGAGGAACTCTGATCGAAGCGTTCGGGTCGAGGAGCTCTGTTCGACGAACGTTGTTCGGCCGATCGATGCCAAACTCATCGATCGAAGTTGCAGAGTTCTGCGAAACTCCGCGGAGGCGTGCGAACTTTCGCCCAGGAGATTTTGACGAAGTACTATTTGCGGAACGGCATCACGTGGTCAACGGTGCGCACCTGGCAAAACCGACGACACGTTTTCTACCTGGCACCTGCGCAATGTGCCTGGCGGTGAAACCGCCAACCTGCACCTACTTGGTAGGTGCGCACATCTGCGCAGATAGACAACCTGCGACTGTAGAAAGTTACCTGCGACTGCAGTGCTGGCAGAACGTGCGCGGTGCAACGCTGGCAGATTACTCTGCTGCAGCGTTGGCAAGCCGCTCTTCTGCTGCGCTGGCAGATGTCCACCTTGCTAGGTGTTGCATGCCATTCTAGTTCCTTTTGTTCTGCATGCCTCAATTGTACTATCAACTTTTCATTGCAAGTTGTTCTTTCAACTTCCTTGGTGGAAACTCTTGCAAAACTTCTCTGTGAACACAGCAAGCAGTAAGAACGTTAGTACAACGCTACGATCACTCGCACAACTCCGTGCCCTCCACTGTAGTCCACTCCCGTTGTGTAGTGACTCTCCGCATGGTGCGGTGAGCGTCGATGGCCCCGTGTTAGATAAGCCGACTTCTGTGTTCATTACCAAAGTTGTTGTTAGGCCGACAGCCGTCTTAGTCGCCATGGTGGACCCCGTGGTCGAAGCAGGTGTAAACAAGCAAGTGCAGGTATAGAAAGATCACAGTACAAGCAAGGTCAAGAAGTGAGCAAGTGAGGCCAAGTAGGCACAAGACCTAGCATCGTACAGAAGCGCTGATGATCACAAGGCGGAAGTGCCTTGGTAAAGATATCGGCAGTGTTGGCCTCAGAGGCCACGTAAGCAAGGCGCAGCTGACCACGCTGCTGCAGCTCACGAGCAAGGAAGTAGCGAAGAGCAATGTGCTTCGTTCTGTGCTCCAGTCTGTGCTCCCGACACAAGGCCAGCATGTCCTTGTTGTCTACGTACAGAACTGGAGGAGAACGAGGCGGCTCTCCTAGACCAGTCAGCAGGTAGGTGAGCCAGCGTAGCTCCTGTGCAGCCATGGCCCCCGCGTAGATCTCAGCCTCACAGCTGGAGCCGAGAACAGAAGACGAGCGGGTAGACCGCCACGAAACAGAGCCGGAACCAAGGCTGAAGGTGTAACCCTGTGACGACCGCTGCGTAGCCTGGTCGTCAGCCCAAGAAGCTGTCAGAATTATGTTTTTATAACTGCATGTAGTTCTAGCTGTAGTGTAGTTATTAAATTTGTAGGTGGTGCACCTCTTCATTTGTTCCTATGCTATATGTTCCTTGAAACCTATAGTGAACTCATTTTCTCCCAACTCCTCTTCCAACTCACTCGAACCTCACCCTAGGCAAGAACCACTCGACACCTAATCTCGGGCCTAGGCTCCTAAGCCTAGGCCCTAGTTTCAACTTAACTCATTCTCGTTCAATTATTCGACATGTTATCAGAGCGACGTTCGTTCTGGCCTGTGCGCCCGCCTCACGTTTCCGCTGCTACGATTTTCCGGTCGCGCGCCTAGGGCGCGTGGCGATTTTCCCTTGTCCCGCCCCCGGTTGGCGTGTGACTCCTTCTCTGCCCGTCGCGCGCCCCGTGGCACGCGACGGTGCCCTAAACCTGTCCGTCGTGCGCCCCGTGGCACGCGACGGTGCCCTGCTCGTCGTGCGCCCCGAGGCACACGATCGGGCCCTTTCACTTAAACTTACCCGTCGTGCGCCCCGTGGCACGCGACGGGCCTCTCCGCCCCTGCTCTCCCTGCAGCCGCCCCTGACCTATCAGCGCCGACACAGTTTCGCCGCTCTGCGGCTTTCTTCCCGCCCACCCCCTCCTCCTTTGTCTCCCTGCAGCCGTGGGGAGGAGGGTATGGGGGTGGCGGGTGTTGGAGTGTTGGGTCGTCTTCTTCCCTTCCCCTCCTCCTCCTTTCGTACCCACTGCTGCAGCTACCGCTAGGGGGGAGGATGTGAGGGTGTGGGGTGTCAGATTATTATAGCTGATGCATGTTTGTAGGCTATAGTGGGGTAGCACATATGGGGTACAGTTTGCTAGGGTTGTATTTGTACCCAACTCTGACTTAGTCAATTCATTCCTCTGCTCATAGTTTCACATGGTATAGAGCTAGGTCCCTCCAGGACCGAATTTT